ACCTATAGGTTGCTTAAACTCTATATAAAACTTCCGCAATTCTAAACTTCCCTAGATTTATATTATTTTTCTTACTTTCTAGCTTTTTTCTTAATTATCCTATTATTTTTGGAAAGTCTATTTATTCTAACATTTACTCTTGCTCATATCGCCTTTGAAAAAACTTCAAAAAATTCAAAATTCAAAATTCTTTATTAAGTGCTCTTATACAGCTTAACAGCCAATTACATAAGGCACTAATACACAATAACATAAATTACATTAATTTAACTTACATTACATTTAATTTAAATTACAAATTAATTAATTTGGGTTGATAATGTGTTTTTCTGAGATATGATATTTCTTAAGCAAACAGAAAATACTAGTACATTCAACTACCTTCTTTGAAAAATATTTCTTTTTGGCCTATAATGCCTTCGAACGGTTCACGGTTCATTCTCATCAAAAGTCCACATCAAGCCCGGGATGTTTCAAAAGTCACGCCATTTATCGTCTTAATGAATTTCGATTTTAATTTTTATATTCAACATGTTAGTTAATAATTTAGGTCTTAGTATGTTCACTTGGCTAATGCAATGTACAATATCTATATTGTCAATTTGGCTAAATAAATAATTTATTGAATTATTGTTCGAGGATATGTCATTTATTAGGCATTTGACTTAATAAGCCGTAACTTGGAGGAATATTAACTAGTATCGCACCATTGTCATTTTGGAAAGAATTTGTCTAAATAAAAATCGTCACAAAATCAAATAACCTATCCTAATTTACTCGATAGCACATCTTTAATAGTACAGTTTCACAAAATACAAAAACAAAATCTTCCAAAAACATCTTCTACACAGTTATTTCGGAGAGTGTAAAAGGTGTTTGACATCCTACTACTACTTTAAATTTACTTTTCCATTTTAAAGTTGACTCTATAAACGTGTAGCCGAAATGAACGAGATTTACCAATATATAACCAATGAAAAAAACATTTACATAACTGAAGAATCAAAGCGTTGTTAAGGAAAACGAATTGTAAAAGTTCCTAAGTGGAGATTTGTAACTCTAGTGGGCCTTAATCAGACGGGTAATCCTCTTTACGGGGGTTGGGAACGGTTTGTGTGTGTTTGTGTGTGTGTGTGTGTGTGTGTGTGTGAGTGGGTGGGTGGGGATGTAGTTAATGTGTTTTACCACACAGTAATGTGGCTAATGTATCGATAATGTTGAGTCTATTACAAACTGAGATACGGCCATCATCCTCTGTGTATAGCATCATTACCGTATTCATTAACCAACAAATGATTTGTTCTAGAATAGAGAAAACGCTAAATACGTATCAATAAGTCAGGGATAGATACATTTCGCCAGAAATTTATCTAATGTTCTATTACTTTAAAAATAATGTTTATGGCGTCGTTAGAATAAGCTTAAAGTTAATTTATTACCACGGGAACGTAAAAATACTTCTACAATGGACGGGTGAAGTGTGGCCTTGAAACCGGACATTCACAAAACAAAATAAACTAATTATTAATTTTTTTGTAGCTAAACATCATTGTTATTGTTCCTATACGGTACTGGTTTTGTTTTTCGAATCTCTCGTTTTGTCAACTTGTTCAGATAGTTTGTTATTTATAGTTGTTACTTATAGTTTGTTATTCATAGTTAGTTATTTATAGTTAGTTATTTATAGTTAGTTATTTATAGTTGTTATTTATTTTTTTATGTCTTGTTATTGAAGTCTTGTTTTCCAGTTTTTTCCACTACTTTTGTACTGGCCTGTGATTTTTTTTTCTGCTTCTTCTGTATGTAAGATTATTGTATTTTTCATGTAAAAATGGTGCATACGTTAACAAAAAAAAAAAGGAAAAAAAAGAAAATTTGATCTATGACTAAGCTGAGAGCTATGAGTTAAGCAGCATGAAAGTTTACCAAACCTAGTTGTTAGAGGGCGAAAACACGCAAGAGGATAAAAAAAACATTTCAATCTGTCAAGTCAATCTGTTATCTACGACGGCGCTGAAGGGCCACCAACTATAAAAAAATATTTTTCTTAATCTCTGAGAAAAAACTTAGAATTCTGAGTTTAAAGTCAGAATATAACATTTGGGCGTTCCACTCTGAGATTAAAGTCAGAATTCAACTAAGGGCGTTCCCCTCTGAGATTAAAGTCAGAATTTAACAAGTGGGGCATTCCTCTCTGTGAAAGGAGTTAGAATTCTGAGATTAAAGTCAGAATTGAATTGTGGGCGTTCCTCTCTGGGAAAAAAGTCAGAATATAACTAGTGGGCATTCAACTCTTAAGTCAGAATTGAACTGTTGGCGTTCCTCTCTTATTGCAACGATATTATCAGCATATCGATGCTATCATCCCTACTATCTTAGACAAAAGAAATAATATAAATATCATTTCTGTTGTCTATTCTACTGTGTTCTTCTACTTGCAACGTTGCCAATTCTACCAGGCCGCGGCCTGGGGCCCATTTGGGCCCATTCGGGCCCATTACATAATAAAGTACAAACTAATATTATTAGTAAATCAGCTGATCGCCCAATGCAAATCTAATGGAAATTACAAGTTACAAGTTGTAACTTGTAACTTGTAGTTTATTATGAAATGGGCCCCTGGAGGTAAAGGTGGCCGTGAGAAGAGTACAGTAGAGTATAGTAGCACGGCCGCATTGGTGGCCGCATTCTTACGTTAATCTCAGAGATGAACGCCCACAATTCAATTCTGACTTTGATCTCAGAATTATAACTCCTTTCACCGAGAGGAACGCCCACTTGTTAAATTCTGACTTTAATCTCAGAGGGGAACGCCCACTAGTTGAATTCTGACTTTAATCTCAGAGGGGAACGCCCACTAGTTGAATTCTGACTTTAATCTCAGAGTGGAACGCCCACTTGTTATATTCTGACTTTAAACTCAGAATTCTAAGTTTTTTCTCAGAGATTAAGAAAAATATTTTTTTATAGTTGGTGGCCCTTCAGCGCCGTCGTAGTTATCAACGACAACAAACAAAAACAACAACATTGAATCATTATCATAGAATGATAGAATAGAATCTGGAGTGCCGACTGCGAACTGCCAGTGCCAGGGCCCGAGTGTTTTCGTTTTCAGTTTTGTTTGTTTAAGTATGTCCAAGCATAGATAAAAGGAGTAAAGCACAGTATAGAATAGACACTTCTTTTAATCTATGGTCAAAGGCAAAGAAAGGTTCTGTCGTTCTGTCTGTACTTCTTGAACTTGAATACACAACAATTACCGGTAACGAAATCAAGACTGTTATCTGGACTGGAATAGGAAGAACATAAACATAAACCCACCGCACCGGTTGCTTCATCCCTAGTACTCAAGGTTTGGTTTCTGTTTTCAATTTTAAACTAAGCCTAGCCTATTTTAAGCACTTTTTACCATTGGCACTTTAGGGGGAAACGTCTATTTCACCCTGAAAATCGCGTATGAAAATAAAACTAGCATATCAATAACATTTTTTTTTTTTTAGTAAACGAACCTAAAATTGTGGAATGCGAGCTTTATTTTAGGTTAGGTTTGGTTAGGTTAGTTTAGGTTAGGTTAGGTTACAACCTAACCTTACCAAACCTAGGCCTAACCTAAAATAAAGCTCGCATTTCACAATTTTAGGTTCGTTTACTTATAATACTCATGTTATTGATAAACTAACAGCGTGAAATTTAGGTCATTATGGAAAAAAAATTTCACTCTCTTGCAACTAGTCACAATGTCGGAATAATTACCGGTATTTGACAGTTCTCGTGTATCACAGGGTTAGTGGCTGCTTTGTTCAAATTAGCTGTTATAATAAATTCAAACAAAAATTTAATAGTACGGCACCCTGTTGGTAAACCTTGTGACTTTATAATGCTATTAAACATCATAGAACCAACTTGTTAAATTGAAACAGCTGTTAGGATTCATTATTTATTTTTAAATTTGAAAAAAAAACTTAAGTTTAACATTGGAAACTCCAAAGCCACTGGGGCGGAGCCCGAAGTCAGATCAGAATAAAAACTGCCCAGTTTTCCTACTTAATGCCTAAAGAATCAGTGTACCAAATTTCAACCTCCTAGGTAAATGGGAAGTAGGAGAATTAGTGATGAGTGGGTCAGTCAGTGAGGGCTTTGCCTTTTATATGGTTGGATACAGCCCTTTAGTTGAGGTTCCTTAGGCCCTTAGGAGAGCGTATAAAAACACTGATATTTTATTGGGAAGTTTCACAGCTGGACCTTTTATTCGAGTATGCGGTTGATAGGTGTGCTGATTATGGTTTTCTCAAAAGTTCCTTGTTTCTAGCATATAGTAGCTTTCTATATAGATTTGTTTCTATACAGATCGGTGTAAGTTATGGTGCTTGTAGACATACCGGATTTTTATTGGCAAAACGATCAGTTGCTTTGTTTTTGTGTCGAGGACGAGACGAGATTATTGAATACGAATCCTAAAAGAGTTTTTGTTATTTGGTTATTGTATCAACGTATTAAGCACCGTAGGATTGAACGTAAGTTCTGGTTTCATCCAATTAATCAAAGCAGAGAAAACATGGAAAAATTTTACACATGTTTTGAAAAACTAAAGCTTGATAGCAGTAAGTTTTTCAACTATTTCAGAATGTCAATGACATCAAATCCTTTGACGAACTCCACGATAAGTTGAAAAATTAAATCCAACATCAGAATACAAAAAGTAGTAGGAAAGCAATCGTCTGGTATGGAGGATGGTGGAGCAAGAACTGCAGAGACGGTCGGAAAACAATCGGAGCGTATGCAAGCTTGTATTTAGTCACTTATGCCATTGCGTCGCCGGCACATCCCCGGTACCGGTGGTAGGGTAGTGGCAATGGCCAGCTGCTCATCGGCATTTTACCGGCGTCTATCAGCGGTCAATTTGGACTACCGGTAAACAATCGGTTGTCCAAAGTCGGTGTGTGAGCAACGCACCTAAGTTTTAAGAAAATTGTATTTTTGACGCTTAAATTATTTTTAGGCCTTTCAAAGAAACCAACCATCTGCTATGGAGGGCGTAATGGACATAGATGGCAGTGTGTTGGAAGGGGTAAGTGATGTGTTTAGCATAGCATGATAGAATAGTAACTAAGACCTAGTTACAGTAGGGTACTCGCCTGGTAACGGGATATAAAATTAGTTTAGCCTACTTGGCAAAAGTTCCGTATAGTTACAATGATAAAAATTTCATTTTTATATGTCTACTTACAGTTTTTGGCACGCCAAATCTGAAAATACAATAAGTTGTTGTCGGAAAGATTCCTAAGTATCTATAAAACTGAAATAAAAATTACAAATTTCAGGTCCATTGGCGGTTTAGATAGTAATATAGTGGTTTGGATGAGTCCGTACATGTGGACTGTGGAAAGCAAACAAACAACCATACCATGTTTAGGTATATCCGACTCCATACACAATGGAATAGATTCATTCGAAACGGTTTTTTCTGAATGACTAAGAATTCTGAACAAATCGTTTGCAGACAAATCAGTAGTAACTTATAAAGTGTTTTGGAATAGGTTGGATTAGGAAGGTAAAGTTTAGGTTATATTGAACTTTCTGATTACCGGGTGAGTTCTATAACCACTCAGCTATCCAAGTATAGCTTTCTGTAACTTAGCCTAGATGAACTGACCAGATTCATCAGACTACACTCATCATATAATGTAGGCCTACCTATAACTATAGACAATTTATTGGCAAAAGAGGTACAGTATACCGAAAAGTACCTGTTAAGACGTTGGCGCCTTTATAGATACTTTAAGATAACTTATGATCTCGAATGTACTTTGACTCTGTTCTAATATCTTTTATAGGTCCTCCTCCTCCATCACCTATGAATAAAGAATATTTATAATTATTGTTTGTTGGTAACATTTTAGGGAGGCCAAGTGCTCAGAATGGCTATTGCGTTCAGTGTACTCCAAAGAATTCCTGTGAGGATATTCAATATTCGAGTCGGAAGAAGTAAACCTGGACTCAGCCCCCAGCATTTAAAAGGTTTGATTCAAGAGTACCTTAAATTAGTTTCTTTAGCAGTACCTAACTTAAATAATTCACCATTTCATAAGAGAACTCTGAACTTTCTGATGTGCTAATCTTGAATTTTAAAAAAGAATTTTTTGCGCTAAGCCACAAAGTAAAAAAAAATCATCAAAAAACTATTTTTCTACTGGTGTTTACTTTCCAAGCCAGAAGATAAAATTGTATATCCTTTTTACCAAACAATACTGGGGCTAAATTAAGCGTAAATTGAACAATTTGGAGTCCGAGGGAAACTTTTTCTCCAGACATTGAGGTTAGACCATTTTCAACTTTTTTCTACCAAAAAGCTAAGAGCACATCAAAATTTCTACATTTCAACTTCTAAAGAAAGTAAGAACGGTCCTATTTGATATCTTCTAAATTGTTCAATGGTGGAGATAGCCTATACATAATGTTACGTACTATACTACTTTTGAGGCTAATATAATCCCTGAATCAATCTTATACAGGTACACATGCGGCTGTATAGTATTTAGATTACTATTGAACACCAATGACCAGAGCTGCTCCCAATTTAATATGGGCACTGTGTTTGTAAAGGATTTTTTTATACAGGGTAAATCATATTCCTTGGCCAGGCCACTAGTTTTTACTTTATTTTGATTTTTAAGGTTTGGAACTAGCGAGGGAAATGACAGATGGTAAGTTGACAGGGGCCCAACAGCGGTCTATGGAAGTAACATTTAGGCCCGGCAAACTGAAACCTGGCGAGTATTTAGGCGACACTGGCACAGCTGGGTAAGTGATGCAACTTAACAGAAATTAACTGACTAGTGAGCGTAAACTGACAGCATTATTAAACAAGGCATCGCAACTATGTATTGCCCCAGGCCTCGCATTTTATAACGATGGCTCTGAGGGGAGCACAAGCGCTGTTACGCTAAAATGTTTCTATTTTATATACCGGTACCCCGGATTTTTCATATTTATTTTTTATTTGTGGCCTTTTGTTCAAAATGCTTTCCAGTTTGTTTGAGGTCTTGTAAGAAATTTTGTAATTTCTTTTCTTTAAAATGTTTGAAACTTTGTGGCATAATTGGTTACCGTAACTGAGAGTAAATAACCTTCAGTAACTGATAGACCTATTAGGCCTACTTATACTTTTCTTCTTGGGCCGAAAAAATAAGCATATACCGTACAGAATGCTTTATATCCTTCAACTTTTTTACATGAACCCTTGATCCTTCCTAAAATTTCAGGGGGGTCGACTGACCCCCCCGGTACCACTGTTATGAATTTTAATAATTATTAAATGTTAACAACATTAAACAAGAAATTGGGCTTCTATGATTAATTTGGCCGTCACATCTTAGTTTTTAAGAGACGACCTTACTGAAAAACTGGCTATTTCAACTAAATCCTCCTACAATAGCCAGCCATTCTACATAACTAAAACAATTAACAATTAAATGCAGATAGTACCAACACCATAGCTACCTCTGACAATTATTTTGAAGAGTAGATACTAGAGCCCATACAAATTAAAAATACCCCCGACGCAGCAAACCTGCAAACTAAGCGAATTTCAACTTGTCTGATTACATTTTTACTAAAATATTTCCATAAGACACATTTATTCCCAATTTAAATAACATTAGATTTAATGAGTGCTTAGGTTTGCTGCTACGGGGAAGGTAAAAAGTATTTTTGACTATTCGTCAATAGTATAGGATGAAATAAATAAAATTTCCAAATTTTATCAATATACATCCATAAACAAGTAAACTACAACAGTTTTCATTTTCTCCATAACAATAACACAAGAATTTTAAATTATACTATTTTTGAATTTTCTCCGTTACCGTTAGGCATGCAACAGTGCTTCAATATACTAAATTATTTCGTTTTTTAAGCTCTACTAAACGGCTTAGAAATAAATTGCAAAATTTTTTGTTTTTAGGGTCAAAAATGGGAAAACCCCATTTTTACCCCATAAACCCCCGTTCCCATGGTCCGATTATGCTAGTTTGTGAACTCGTTCGAATAAATGTAGGTTTACATGTTTGTACCAAATTTCATCAAAATCGGATCATTTTTGCTTGAGTTATCGCGCTAACGGACACATATATATATATATATATGAATTTGAACGGATGGTGTTTTTTGCCTCTAGGGACCTCAAAACGAAAAATTAATCGGTCCCGGGTCCAGGTCTTACCATGAGTACTACGGTAATAGCTTATTCCCTATATGGGAAATTCACTAAAAAAAAACATAGGCCTAAATTTAATATTAAGGGGATCAGGAATTGGAACACTGCAATCAGTAAATTACAATGCAAAAACAGCCTAGAAAGTTCTGGAACTATCTAAGCAAGATGTATGGTAATAGGGCATAAATAAAATGATGTCATTTAAGTTATAAAAATTTTATATTACAGAAGTATAAGCTTGCTAGTTCAGCTGCTGTTGCCTTGTGCACTATTTTCGTCAGGAAAAACAGTACTGGATCTGCGGGGTGGCACAAATGCAGACATGGCCCCTCAGATTGACTACACTACAACTGTAAGTAAACAAATTATAAAAAATCACTTGTTTGTGAAACCAATAGAAAATGTACGTATCCATTAGGAAAACACGGTTAAGTAATTAATATAAAAAAACTCTAAATTAAAATCATTTAAACTAATGATGTGAGGTCAAAAATAAAATAGTCTGTAAACAGATACAGTAGGAGGGAGGAGCGCTTCAGTCGCGTAGACTAGTGGGTGCAACTATGCGTCTTAAAGAAGACAGGGTACATTCCTGTTAAAAGGAACATTAATTATCATCGATGATATTTTTGATATATCGATATTTTATTTTTCAATCCGATATATCGATATTGTTAGATTGAAACATATCAGCTGACAACTACAAGAAGTAAATATTCCAATATTTCAAAAACCAAATATGAAAATGAAAAACGGATTGCGGCATTGTGTTCAGCATAAAAACATAGTTTAAAATGATGGGTCACAACACCAACTTCATATTTAAAATAATTTATCACATTTCAAAATGGCGGATCCAAGATGGCGGAAGAAAAAAATACATCCGTCATAACCAAGTGAAAATAGGTCGACAATGAATTGTGATGTATACTTATCTTTAAGTAGTTTTTCTTTTCCTGTCTACTGTTGTGGGCTATTATGGCATTAAAAATTGAATGAGATTTGATGTTTGATGAATGAATTCTAAATCTATATGTATCAATATATCGGCAAATAAAATATCGATTTATCAAAAAAGATCATCGATAATAATGGATGTTCTCTTTAACAGGAAAGTACCGAAGGCGGTAACAAAGCCATGGGATATACAATTTCATCTTGGCTTACAGGATGTGGCAGTATAAACCGAGGACCGATAAAACGTAGGCCGGATATCAGAGGTTCTACTGTAGATCAGCCAGCAAATCACGGTTGAGTTCTTTATACGTTCTTCTTATAGCCTAATCCCTCTTGATTTTTTGAAATCTGTAATTTAACAAGTTTTGTTGTGACATTGATTATTGGGTGAATAAGTTAAAGGGAGTATGTTTTCCTTTGTTTGAAGTTCATTGTTGGTGATGGTGAGTTAATGTTGTTCAAAGGTTTATTGCGGACATTTTCCATCACGATTGTAAAAAAACAATACACCCTATGAGAAATATACACCTATGGTTGAGTATGTTTTACCTATGGTTAAACCAATACTTACTCATTCTTGTTTCCAAGTTGACCTGTCAATAGGTTTTGTCATGTGGGCCTGACTATAATATTATTACCCAGGGGCGGCGGAAGCAAATTTTAGTTAGGGGGTCAGAAGCCTATGGTGGAGGTCCACATCCGGGGGGTCTGGGGGGTATGGAATACCCCCCAGGGGACAAGGGGGGTCCGGGGAAAAATTTTGAAAAATAAAAGCCTTAAAACGTGTTTTTAGGCTACCTGAAGAACATTTTTGTTCAAGCAGTAACAAAGAAAATTTACAATTTAACAAAGACGCTACTCTGTTCATTATAAAAACATTATAATAAATAATACACACACATCTCAAACAAACAAAAAATGAAGTACTGGTGCCCAGATTTTACTAAAGCTGTCAGCAATGAGTTGCTGCAGATGACAGAGAAGAGTAAACAAGCTCTAAGCCCTAGGGATTTATGTGTTCGCGTAATTTCGGCAGGCCCTGCCCCTCCCCCTCAAAACTGAATTAATAATAAGTTAAATTAAAATTGGCTGCTTGATTATAGTTAATCACAAAAGTAAGACGGTAGGGTATAACCAAGTAAGTGTGTCCACTGGGGCTAAATAATGGTTTACACAAAAAACATTACAAACATTGTATTGGCACAACATAAAATTACTAAGAAATACAAAACCTTTTTGATGAATTATTGCGAAAATAAGTAAAATCCCACAGTAGAATCTCAAGATATTAGCCTACTACAAGTTTACTAGATTTTTAAACTTCTGCTGATGAAACTTCAGTAGGCCCTAACTTGAACTTCAGCCTTTGAAATTCCCGAAAACTGCACAGCGACTTTCAACTCTATTGACAAACATTCTTGCAATGTGCTTATCATCAATACATTCAATGTCCCTATGGACGGATAAGATGGCAAGATGGTTCAATCTCTTCTGCGTCATCGTGGAACGCAGCCACGTTTTCAAGCGACGAAGACAAGAAAAGGTTCTTTCTGCAGTTGCTGCAGACGCTGGTAAGACAAGCAGTAACTTGACAACCTTTATTACTTCAGACAAAAATCGTTTGTTTTCTTGAGGCTCACTATTTAAAGTCACAACTAAATCACGTACACTTTTAACTTCCTTCTTTTTTGGTAAATCTTGTAGACGGTTTAATTGGCTTGTAAGCTTTTTCTTGTCCAAGTCAGTAATTAACTCTCCAGGAATTAACTCTCCAAAATTCCATACGATCATGAACATCAATGAAATTACTTATTACTTTTATAAGGTTTTGTGAGTATTAAGCCCCTTCATAATAAATGTAATAGATTATTATTAATAACTAAATTGTTTATCTTTGTACTTATCTTCAGTAACTGTTATTAGGCCTACTTATACTTTTCTTCTTGGGCTGAAAAAATAAACGTATACAGTACAGAATGCTTTATATCTTTAATTTTTTTTATGAACCCCTGACCCTTGACCCCCTGACCCTTCCTAAAATTTCAGGGGGGTCAACTGACCCCCCTGACCCCCTGGTTCCGCCGCCACTGTTATTACCATTGATTATTTTATTATAAATAATGTAACAAGCTCTCGACTTACTGAATTAAATTTTATAATGTGATCGTGATTATTTAAATTTGTTTAGGTGTTCCTTGCCTTGTTGAAAAGATTTGGAGCTTCTTTCAACTATGATTTGATTTTAAGGTAAGTTTTGCAAATCATACGTATAGGATGATAAAACATAAAAGTAGATAAGTTAACTGCCTCTAGTTTACAGGTTTGTAACACTTTTCTTTTCCCCCCCTATACACATGGAGAAAGCATTGTTTTTTATAAATTTGAGTGAGAGATTTGTAGTGGATATATATGTTTTGGGTCCCCCTGAACCCAAAAAAGTGGTTTTCGAAGTGATATGTGTGTGTGTGTCTGTCTGTATGTGTGAATTAGAACAGAGCTACAGACGACTCCTGTGGTCTGATTTTGATGAAATTTGTGTAGGTAGTGGAAGCTCCAAGAATTTTTTTTCAATTTTGATTTTTAATAGTGATTTACCCATAAAATAACAGAATCGAAAATTGCCTGAACGATTTTGATAAAAATTTAGTATGTTATAGTCCCTTATAGGAGAAAGTATGTGTCAGATTGCTGATACTGTTTATTTAGTCTTGCATATTTTATCTTGAGAACTGTCAGCCAATAAATATATACGTTAAAAAATATACAATAGTCTTTGATTATGTACTTTTTAATATTTTATGAAAGTAAGAGCCTATGTTTGCTTTTATTTCTGTACTAACAAAACCTCCTAAATATTAGTCCTGGATGTCATAATTTAACGCTATAATTTCCAATTTTATAGAGGGTTCTATCCGAAAGGAGGAGGAAAGCTGAGAGTAGAAATTAGTCCTGTGAAACATCTGAGTCCAGTAGAAATGGTGGAGCCTGGATCGATCAAGAGGATTTGGGGCTCAGCCTACACTGCTGGCAATTGCCCTCTTGTAGTAGGTCAACACACAATCTGTTACACGACAATTTAAAATAATCACTTTTACCATCACATATAATATCTATCACCCAGGGGCAGTCCAGAAAGTTAAAGACTTTAACATTGGTGCCTGAGTGTTTTTATATTCAGTGCAGTGGTAATTTGATAATAAACTCACACAAATGCACTTCATAAAATGTTTACGTTTATGAAGTGCATTTGTGTTAGTTTATTATTAGTTTTACTGACAAACAAGCTTAATTTAGTAGACAATTTATGTAGAGAATAATGTAAAGCAGAGAAAGAATGAGTTTTCGGGACCTAATGCAAGAATTATTATAGTAAATGATTTAGAACTAGAAGTTGGTTGAACTAATCCTACTACACTAGTAGTAAGCCAATTCTCGTGACTTGTAAGCTGATTCTAAAATTCAAAGCCAACAATCTTATCTTATCTTATCTAACAGGGGCAGGTCGAGACCTTAAAGCACTTCATCCGAAATCGAATTATTGCGCACCCCAGATACTTAATTGCTTTCTTGTTGACCTACAAGTTGAGGCGCCCAATGAATGCCTGTAGCTTCCCAATTAGTTCATCCTCAGGAAGAAATCTACCTCTAGCCATATTTCCAAGAGTTGTCGATCTAGCGTCAGAGAGCTCATTACAATCAAAGAGTAAGTGATCAGCTGTCTCTTCTGACCTATCACAGTACCTACAGATCGGTTCACCATCATATAAGCCCATCCGTTGTAGATGTTTCCTGAATCTTCCATGACCAGTTATCAGTTCAACAATTAATTTAATTCTTCGTCTGTCTAGTCTCAAGAGGTCACAGACAACCTTTTTGGAAGGCCTAAACAGAGTAAGCTTGCTGACCCTAAGAAGGGGAACATCGACCCAGCGTTTGCGATGCTTTTCCTTGGCCCATGACGCAATCACAGAACATACACTGTTTCGTGAGATGCCACAGAAGGGTTGCGGGCCTAACAATGATGTCGCAGAGGCAGTGTTTGCCAATCTGTCTGCAGCTTCATTTCCTTTAATGCCTGAGTGTCCTGGTACCCAGCAAAGCGTAAGGTCATTTCTCCTACCCAACTCAGACACAGAAGCAAGACAATCCCACACGAGCCTGGAGTTTAAAAGCCAACAATTTAAATCATTATTCTTCACAGAACAAAAATAATTTTACTATAAAGAACGCTTTGATATTTTTTTTATAACTCAAAGAGTACCTTGACTCATGAGTACATCAACAAACCTAAAACCATGACTAAACAGTTAAAAGTCGTCTCAAGGTTTGAATCCCCTTCGAGGGATATTTCAGGATCGTTTGATAGTAGGTAAAATAAACCTTAAGCTTCCTTATTTTAAGGATCGAGTTTCATTCTTTTAATTGATTTAGGTGGGTAAACTGATGGCGCAAAGTGCTGAGTCTTTTCTCTCAAGAAGGTGGCGTAGCGTTACACCTTGTATTGAACAACGTAAGGAATCGCAAGACACTGCCGTAGGGACTGGATCTGGAATTTAGTAAGTTAACTTTAGAATCTACATGTCTGTTTGAGAATCATAAACTAAAACTGGTAATCTTAAGATATCTTCACCCAGTTAACAAGAGGTGTTTATTTGATTATTGCACATATTTTTCCTGGATCCTGTTAAGATTCCTATTTTGTAACCAATTTTATCATCAGGTGCCACATCTTCACAACTGCAGGAATATTTTAAAGAATTGAATGAGATTGGAAATCATTTATTATTTATATTATAAAGACGCTATTTATATATATAAATGCCGTCAACTTCATCCAAGTCAGATACCGAACCGTTTATTAGCCCTGATACCGGCCATAGTAAGCTGATTATGCATTGTTATGTATTGTACGGGAATATAAACAACGTAGAAAAACCTCAGTGCTATACTCGTTATTGTAACATGTTTGTCAACTTAGCCCACCATGTCACCATTGGACGGCCTCGACTATGGCCACCATAAGCTTGTGAGACACTTGCGCTTGCAGATGAGATTTTACGAATTACTTAAGGGCCAGTGGGTTAGCAGAGCGGTTCCAAAACAAGAAATGCTGTGACGAGCTACACTTGGAACACGGCATCAATGTTTAGTGGTCTATATTAACATGTACAATCACAATCAACTATAAACATGTTTAGCTTCTGGGTCACATTTTTTACAAATCAAAAGTTTTTTTCTTGTTGTGCAGTCAATGGTCCGTTTTCGTCCAGCGACCAAGGTTAGGAACCCAAAATGTTCATTTTTAAGTTGACCAAGTACTAAGTAAAAGATAAAATATAAATCCTCTTCAATCTAGAGATTGTGAAGAGTTGTCATCATGTACACATAACACTTACAAAAACACAAACACATTTTTTTTATCTGGCTAAATTGTAACACTGAAAGGTGGATGAGTGGTGTAGCCGCGGTAGAAGGTAATTATTTATGACTTGTATTTGTAACTGTACTTGACTATATTTGTAATTGTATGCTCATTCATCTTTGTATAGCACAGGTTAAGCTACTATTATAATTTAGTACGGTTCGTTCTATTTTTAATGTATTTTATTTTTACTAAAGTTTTATCTAATTAATCACTCATCACATACCTTGCCATTAGCAGATTTTAAACTAGGCCAGCTTAATTTAATAATTAAATCAATTACTTGATCTTTAGTTTTTATTTGCTATTATTTAATTATATTGTAATACTATGTAGCAATTAATTCTCAAAATAATGAACCCTATTGCATTGTAAAATGTTCAAATGACAATACAGATTCTTATTCTTAAAACAACACTATTTATGAATAATTGGTATATTTAGGTAATACACACATAAAATGCAAATTTATAAACAGCATAATTTTCAGCAAGGGGGAAAAAACTAAATCCATCTAAAGAATTTTAGTTTTGGAATCTTGTATAATAACACTTTGTGGTGAGATGATATAAAATACAAATATTACATTTTACAGCATATTTGGAGAGACAACGACAGGTTGTATCTATGCAGGGACAGCTCTGGGAAAACGGGACGTAAAAGCTGAGATAGTTGGCGAGGCAGCTGCCAAGGAACTGGACAAGTCTATATCATTAGAGATCTGCGTGGATGAACATTCTCAAGATCAGGTACAAACAACTTATCTTACTTCACCTGTCACATTCGAGGGCCATTCAAAAAGTTAGCTTTGGTAAATAAAAAATCAACTGTAGCCTATGATCAATCTGGTTTTTATTCTTTTTTTTACGTATAGAGTGTTTTTTTTTATTCCTGTCTCTTTTATCCACTGCTTTTAGTATATTCTCATTGCATGTGATGTGTTTTGTCTAGTGTTTAGAGAATGGCTTCTGTCATGGAGGTTGAGGTTCAAATCTTGTCAATCGCCAATTTATTTTAGGCATGTGCTGTGACATGAGTTGCCTAATTGTTTGTTGTATACTATGCAGTGTTTCATAACCACTTTATTTTATATTGCAGTCACACTTGCAATATTTAAAGAATTCTGCAGAAGAAAAGGTGCCGTTTAAAATTTTATGACAAAATCCAATGCACATTGTGCTTGGCAAACTGGCCATTTATGTACAGTATGTTTTTAACCTTACCAATAAAAATTAATTTTGTCAACTCACGCTAAATCTGGCCAATTGCAACTCAAGACCACCACAAGCGACTCAGAGAACATGTTTGTTATAGATGATAATACTCATGGCTCTAGCTAAAGGCAAATCTCGCATTCTGTGTGGACCAGTTACGTTACATACCAAGACTGCTATATATGTGGCCGAACTTATGACAAAGGTATGTCTTACAAAAGATATCTGGGCTAAGAGAAAAGTGTTTGTGTAATGTGTATTAAAAATGTCATTTAGAAACTTTTTCTATTTGCCATTTCTCATATCTGAACTGCTTTTAAAATGAAGCCCTGCTCCAGTTTTGTCAAGTAACTTCTTACTTACTTTACTTTATAGACAAAAATTGAAACACCGAAACTAAAGCTTTCAAAGCGATTTTATAGTTTTAAAATTGTGTAAAATGTGACATGGTTTTGTGCGTGAAAAAAATTATATATATCACTGTCCTACATTTACTTTAAAAAAGAATAAATACTTCCAAAATGGTGGCTGAAAATGTGAAAAGAGTAAAAATTAGCTTTTAGCTAGTTGATAATGGATCAGTGGAAGTTAAGAGATTATATTATATGAAGTTTACAAAAACTAAATTTTAATTTCTTGTTACTTTTTTATTCAAAACAGATTGGGACAAATGGTATTGTAATTTGTAATTTTATGAAATGGCACCTACACAATAAAGTTAAGCTTGTTATATAAAACGGCAAGCACTGTGCAGAAATTCCTATCGCAAAAGTTCTTCCTCCACTGTGAGCGTTGTAGTACATGAGGGCGAGGAGGATTATGTTAGACTTTGCCCTAGACAGCAGCATTAGTGCTAGACACCACTTTAGTGAACCATTGAATGTTCCCTCTGCTTACTTCTCTGTGCATCTCACCACCATTAATTAACTACATGTTTTTTTTTTCAGGCTAAATTCACAATTCACCCCCAAGACAAAGATAGAAACATTATTGAGTGTGATGGAATTGGGTTTGAAAATGAAGCTTTGTAATAATAAATTTCTATTTATTTACTGTTCTGATTTTGTTTTTCTCTAAAACCAAGCAGGTTGTTGATTGTAAAAATTAAATTTTAAAATCTGGTGATATAGTACAATCTTTCTGGTAAACCTTTTGTTGTACAAACCCATTAAGATCACTTTGTGATGAGCGCTTGCTAAATTTGATTGAAATGTAACGTTACCTGTAGATTTAAAAAAAATTGATTTTCCAACTTGATTAAAGTTTGGTTTATAAGAAGTAGTTGTAAACATGACTAATGGGTACAGTTCAAAATAGGTGTTAATTTCAACAACATTTTTATTGGAAATACAATCAATTTATGTTATCAATCAGATTTACATAACAATACAGCATTTCAGAAATAACATGAGTAACCTAATCAAAGAATAATTTAAAGTACACTAAAAAACAATTAATTGTTAATTTTTCCAACTTTTTACAGTAATTTTGTTAAGATAAAGATTATTAATAATGGTGTTTCTCTAATTACTCTTTCCATGACAATTTATTGGGCCAATAGGCAAATTTAGTTAACAAATTAAAACTAGAGGAAAATCGTAATGTGTGATCCATTAACAGAATTAAAATGATTTACTTAGCATTATAAGCTTCAATAAATCATAAAATACTTTGCACAACACCAAAGTTACATAAATTTCCCTGGTGTCATCCATCAAAATATTTCTTCCACGTTATCCTCATCTTTACACCCGCTTATTTTCAGAATCCCTGCGGCAAATAATGGGTGTAAACATTATTCGTTGCTTTCGTAAGAGACCAACATAAATTGATCAAAAACATTTGTGTTTAAAGATGTCTTTTTGAAGGGGAAAACTCTGTATTTTCATGTGACTAGTCTATCATACTTACAACATTTAAATTACTTATAATGACATTGTTGAGTACCGTATAATGTCTATAGCAGTGCTGATAGAGAGCACATTTCTACTGTGTCTAGTTTAAAGATATGAGCACTTTTTTTAACGTGGCCTCCCACGCTCCTTCCTGCCTCCCCCCATATTAGCAATTGTCAGTTTTAGTCGTTTCCTCGATGCCCCCAACAACAATCAAAAGTCAAACTGTGTTACACTTCCAGTGCATAACTTAACAGATGCTGGACTATTAGAAGTAAGTAAATTAATCGTTTTCTTGTAACTAATGACTTTAGCACTGATTTCATACAACTGAAATCTATTGTTGGAACTTTTGTCCAAGTGCATTTCTGGACTACATCCTGTAGGTTTATCAGTTTACTTACTTGAATAAAACTCTGTCATTTTACAGTGACTTTTGCTGTTAAACAATTCTTTGTAATATACTTAGTTCATGTTATAATAGGGAAGATCCCCAGAGTTTTGAAAATAATGAATTGTCTCTCTCTAAATAAATTATTATAAAAGTGTCACATACACTGTGCAATTTCATTTGTTTTTGACTAATCTATATCTATAAAAGAGGAACTATGTATGTATGTATATATATGTGTATATACGTTATGGACTCCGAAACCGCTCGACAGATTGTAATGAAACTTTCAGGCATTATTAAGCATCTTTCAAGGATGGTTCGAGTGAAGTTTGGTGCAGATCCGTCAAAAGGGCTCTGCCCCAGAGGGTTTAAGTGGGCCAATGTCAGACTTTTTGATCTAGAATGTTTACAAATAAATATAATTTAAAAGCAGATGTTTACTTTCACCAACTGTTTTGTACGTTTGAATAACTACAACATTCTGTATTAGCATTAGTCATGATTTGGAATAGTGCCACAGTGTTTCTACAGATTAGAGCACAGAAAACTATTTTACTTTTTAAATAAGTCCAAATGTATTAAACCCCAATCGCAGCACACCTGTGCACTTAACAACGTTTAAATTCTCCAATGTTAAATATTAAAACATAAAAACCTTTATAAAAGTACTGTATTATAAACAATAAAAGGGATGACTTTTTTAAATGTATGACAACAGCTAATTTGCAACCAAAAGGTGAGTGAGCGTAGCGAGCGAACATCAACCTGGAGGCGAGTAAGCGTAGCGAACGAGCTAACCTGAAAACAAGTGAGCGCAGCGAACGATTTCCAACCTGAAGGTGAGTGAGCGTAGCGAACGAACTTCAACCGGGACGTGATTGAGCCATGCGAATACTTATGAAGTTAAACGGGGCAAAGCCCGTGGGTACAGCTAGTTATTTATAATTCATGAAAAAAAACTACAGTAAACCTTCACTTAACTGAACCAATTGTTGTTGCAAGTTTTTCAAAGCATAAATCAAATCATCTTAATATAAAAGGAAGCTCTACTCTGAGACTATTTGGACCCTGTTCATAACCTCTTTAACAGAATAAAGTTGATGATGTGTTCTAAATATAAAAAAGCGGTAGTGTGCGTTGTGATAACATATGTACATTAGCTGCCTATTTTACAGTGGGGAATCTTATTTAGGGATGCATGTTGGTTATCTGTTGTCTAGATTAAGCAAAGTACATATTAATATTTAATAGGCTCTGGATTAATGAGTGTTTCTGTTATTTTTATTTCCATTGCTGCTTCCAATTTCAGAGCTAAAAAATATTATAGTTTTACAAATTTTCATTTCTGTTACCGAGACCCTTATAAAACTATGTTTTTCTGGCGCCTTTACATTAAAATTACATACATCCTGAGAGCAAAGAAACAACATTTACAAAACACTGATTAACTCCAACTGAATCCGCTTGCGATCCACCTCGATGTTAACGACCTTGACCTCAACTCTATCTCCGAGCTGTGGGTTGTTGTGGCGAAACTTACTTGCATGAACCAGTCCATCCTTACCCACTCCGATGTCGACAAACGCTCCGAAATGTGTCACATTCTGTACTCGACCTGCGGCAAAAACTAGAAAGTATTTCATACTGTTCTTTACCTTCCACGTGGTCTGAAACTGGGAGGAATGAAACATTAACTTTTTAAGCTAAATTTTCCAGCATGGAATTGCTTTATCAGCTGTCTAACCGCTTGTGCAGCCAATACTATTTTCTCACATCACATCCTAGGACGCTAGGCTTTAGGCTGGAATAAACTTACACATTACTTCAGGCTAGTCCTTGGGGATTGTGGCATTATTACATGGATAAATTCCATTGGTGATCAGAGGGAATAACAATGTCAACCTTTTGTTAGTGATAGCCTAATGACAAATAGCAATTGAGTCCCAAATCAACCCAATTTAGCCTGATTCCACCCCCAAATGTGACAATGCATGGTCAAAATCTCTAAGTTTCACCCAAATCTTATTAAAAATTAAGCCAAGTTAGTTATTTTCATAATTTACAACAAAAATTGTTTAACCTATTCAAAATTTATAAATTAAATTAAATAACTATTTCTTGCAAGTAAATATTTAAGTAAGTAAATATACTTTGCATCTTTGAAACAAACCTGTAAGAACCGTCCCGACAGTAAGGTCCTCCAGTGAAGTGACTCCTCGACGAAACAGAGGTTTGCTTAGCTCCGAGCGGAAGTCGTGATCAAGAGGTTTCTGTAGTCCTTCTACAATCAATTGTAGCACAACCTGGCTAGTACTCAACTCTCTGCTTAGACTTTCCACCCCTGGAAATAATAAACTAGCAAATTCCTTGGTAATTTATAAAAATGAATACAGTAGGACAAGGGCGTATTTGACTATCTGCCGCCCCCTCCCCCATCGCTCGTCAGCACGGTGCCCAACCACACTAAGATTACACCAAAACATGACCTGTCAGCTGATTTTGTAGAAAAGTAATTGGCTATTGCATGCTACATAAATAAAACTAATAACATTTTTAGCCCTTTTTACAGACGGTTTTGCCGTTTTCATTCAAAACGCGATTCTGTCTTGGATACATGGAATGTAACGTTGTCATTGCACCTCTCACATATAGAAAACCAACTGTCCTAACATCGGTTATCCAGAAATAATTAAGAGTCAAAGAGCTAAAAATTATGGACCCTTGGAGTACGGTAATTCCAAATTTACTTGGATTTGTTCATTTAAAACTTACATACTTAATATTAACGGAAAGATACCTATTTCTAATTACTATACTCATCAATTTACACAACATATAAGATATAATTTCTGATATTGAATACACAACGAAATTGAATTCTGTAACAAACCATTTTCCCGAGCACACTTTTCAACGGCAGCAATAAAACCAGGGCTTCCAAGATCTCTTGTGTCAACTCCACATTTTCTTATGAATCTGAAACAAAATGCTCAAGATATTACAAAACTATTTGTTAACATGAAAAAACCAATTTAAAAAATTATTCGTATAATCCTTGTAATGTATTTGATTAATCTTTGTTAATTTAATTGATCATCTGACATATTTTAAAATAAAAGTCAGCTGATCAATTAAATTAATAAAGAGTAATCAAAGACATTACTATCCTTATTTTTATTTTATCTGGCAAAGTACACAATAGTACTCCAAGAATAATATTTTCGAGTAGAGTACCTTTAAAACCAGTGATCTTGTAAGACTTATTTTGTGATGGTCACTCTTTGAAATCAACTAACAACACCTTTTTATTTTAATATTTTACTCTTTAACGCTCTGTATTAACTAAATGTGTTAAATGTGTTAATTGTGAAAAGCACTAAATAAATTATTTTAATATTTTACTCTTTAACGCTCTGTATTAACTAAATGTGTTAAATGTGTTAATTGTGAAAAGCCCTAAATAAATAAATGTGTTGGTAATTTTGGGTGTAATTTTTCTTCAGTTGAAAATCTATCGTATACCATTTCTTTAACCATATACCAGAGCTGGTAGAATTTGTGGCAGGTATAGCCAATGTTGGAAGCATGTATGTAATGTTGGCAAACCTAAACCTATAAACATAAACAATGCTGTCATACCTGTTAGCAACGTTGTAAGATTCTGGATGTATCCACGTCTGATCTAATGGGTTGAAATGCGTTTCCACACTTGTACTTTGCTTTATGGTCATAGGTGGTACTTTCCTTTTTTGTTCTTCGCTATAAGAATGTAAAATATATTAAAAACACATATAGATAGCACTTAAGCTGAACGTAAGCCTAATTGAATTTACTATTAACACTAATGATAATTAGTGCAATAGTAAAAAAACCAATGAAAAAACCTCTTTGTGTATAAGTGTGCCAGTATACGGTTGACGTATTGGTTATTGTGGTCTTAATGGTTGGTGAGTTGTTTCTAAACTGGTTGGTGAGATTTTTGATTGGACATACGCAAAGTACTTTGGACCACTAGGTATCAGGTATTTTAACCTTTTATTTATTTGTCTTTTAACCGCCTGGAACTCTTCTTTCTCAAATTTTCATTTGATTAATATCTTAATACCATTAACTAACCTGTATAAGGCAAATTTAGTAAAGAATTACCTAACTATGTCTTCAAACTACACACAACTCACAGAAAATTTTGATTTGATTTTGTTTATGTGAGATAATCGTCTTTATAGGAAAAAACATTTATCAACTTATTGGACTCACCCACTCAAGTGAGCCTGCTCTTCCTATCAAACACATTATCAAACCTATTCTGGCCTAGAGCCTTTTATCAAGAAATCTTAATCTCACCGGAAAATCAGATTTAGCAAAAGTTAACTATACCTGGTTGGAGGCTGAATGCGTATAAAGCCTGCGCACTGCTCGAATGACTTTTCTCCAATGCCCTTCACGAGTCTTAACTGCTGCCTGTTGGTGAACGGTCCGTAAGTCTCTCTCCATTCCAGTATCTTGGACGCTCGGTTCTGGTTGAGACCAGCGACACGTCTAGTCATCAACAGACAGTTAGTAACACAGGATGTCAGAAACTCACATGGAATAGGCACCTTGACTTTGTCTTCGGAAAAAGCATAGGGGCCTGTGGAAGAACCCCAATCCAATTTATTCAACATATCATAATTAAACCCAAAGTCACATACGCAGCCTTGGTGTGGTAGCCAACATCTCTATAGCCCAAGATAGCACAGTGGCAGTCTTTTGTTTTAATTTGGTCTTTTAATTGAGCTGCTCATACACCTGTACTTGAATAACAATATTGATTCAAATGTACAATATTCCAAACACTGACCTGAGCACAGATAGTGACGCCGTGTTGATGTGAACCCCCACAAAGCTCACACATTCTGACACAACCTCGTCTAGTGTGTTGTTGAGTTGTTTCTCAGACACGTCATGTTGATACATCCCCACACCAAGATGTCTCGGCTCTACCTTCACCATCTCAGACAGTGGGTCCTGTACTCGACGTGCTAGCGAGACTGTGATAACAACCATAGAGAAATAACAGTCCATAGAGTAACAAGAACAGAGTTGGTCGTCTATGTACAAATCAAGTTGACCACTGACTCTATCATTTCACTTCCCACAGAGGTGCAAACATTAAAAGTGGAGCTTAAACCACCTCAACTGATTATGGGCAAATTAAATTTAAGTTAAACCACTAAATTCCTTGAGGCTAATATTAATTGAGGTTAACTCAATTAATTCAAAATATATAGGGAGGAAAAAAGTCTGGGAATAAATAAATATTAAAAAAGAGAGATACAAAACTTGGAACAATGATACTGGGCGTAAAATCATTTAAACATTATTCAGTAAGAAATATGCTCCCTGCTCAAAGAACAGCCTGCTAGAAGTCAGAATAAAATCGTTAATGTTATTATAGGTTGATGGGCACATCAAATTTAAGGTCTTTATTAGTAGAATCCAATATTGCAAACCCGGAAATTAAACAAATCATTGAATAGATGCCATTTTAGTCCTTGTTTCTTAGAGAAAAACTATTTAAATTAACTTTTCTGAGTTTGTTACAACAAAATCTGATTTAGACAAAAACAGCTATTGATTAAAATTTTGCATTTTATAGTCTTCTAAATAAAATGGCACAATTCCCAATGCTGTAAAAATTTCGGTTCAACTATTTCACAAAATTTTGTATTCTTCCCATAAAATCTCATAGTAAATGTATTGTCCATAGAACTAGTAGTTCAATTTAATGTCAAACTAATAAAAAAAGTATGTGCCAGTTTGCTGACTAATTTCTTTTTTATTTTTACTACTAACCTGCACTGATGAGGTTACGATCCAAATCTGGAAACTCTTTAACGGCTTCGCTGCTACAGCTGTATATACTGGCTCCCTGCTCACTGACGATCGTATATTGGACGTCCAGCGGTGAGAACCAACCCTTCTGTATTAGATAACTCAGGTACTCCTCGGTCTCCCGACAACCCTTGCCGTTACCAAGGCCAATCATCTCGCACCTGCCGTCAGAGAAAAACTAGTCCAACTACCTCTAAAATATAAGTGCATTTAAATTATGAAATTAAATATTTACAACATTCTTTTATAGACTAAAATTTTGCTATGATCAGACGTCGAGGGCCACATATTCTAAATTTGTGGAAGGAAGGCTGGCCAGTCATATTTCAGTACAGAAAGTTAAACCCCTTCCCCTGTCATAAACCCACGAAGTCGTTAACTAGTTAAGAGTTTAATTGTAGTTTTGAGATTTTTTGTTTTTTTTTATATTCCTTGGTATACATCACATTTTGGCAACGCCTAAATAAAAAATCGAACATGTTTAGCCTTTTAGCAGTCACGTGACCTCCCTGCTGGTGGCAGCCAGCCAATGTGATCCCCTAGCTCTCAAGCAGCTGGTGAATTAACATGAGTTTACATTTTTTGTTTGTTAATGCAATGTTAGTTTCGTTGTACTGTATTTTATACTTCTTTTTGTGAATATTGAACATGATTGACACCAACAAGTAGTCGGGAAAAGACATTGTAATATTTCTGAATCCATTCCAAACTTAACCTTTCCTGAGATATGCTTCGTCTGCCAACTACATTGACAGGAATACTAAAGACGCAGCTTATAATGAGTCATATTAAAGTCAGACTTGAAGAACGAAGACTAAAATTTGCTTTGGTCTAATAAAAGAGAAAATGGTCTAAATGATTCATATAGAAATAAATTTTACAACATAAAGAAGTCAAAGAAGAGTGGTACCGGAGCAGGCGGCATCTATAAACTAGTGGCTACTTACTGGCAGCTAGTGGTTTTAAAATGTGAACGCTACAGATCCGCTGGCTGCTGGCTATATTTACCAGCAGCTGGTTAGTAGCGGCTGCTGTGACCGAGGCTTTAGGGTTACAGTTTACAGTTCTGATAATAGTACTAGGATTGATATAATATGACCATCTAACTAAGTTAATCTGTATTTGGAAGACTCAGCCACTGCATGTTTACTGCAGATTTTCCTCCACTAAGAAATAAATTGCAAGTTAGAGATATGTAATATACTCTTACCTATTTATTTAAACACGGTATACACATGTGACACCTATTAATGTAAGGTTACGAGTGTTTTTGAAATTGCGGAAGATGATCGTGGTATCGCTGAGGCTGCAATATTTGGTTACGAGTGTTGCCTTGATTTCGGGAGACGATCACGGTTTTGCCAAGACAGCAATAAATTGGCAACTAGTGTTACTTCGATCGCGGAAAATGATCACGGTATTGCCGAGACAACACAGGTGTTTACATCGCTTGCGAAGATCGTTAGTGTTTGCTTTAAAAAAAAATTTCATTAGGCTAAGCTGGCTTTCTGTGGACCCGATGGGGCCCACAGACTTTAGGTTGGACACCCATAGTTCAGACAATTAAGGATAGCTTTACAGATACTTGAAGTCTCCGTTAATTGAATTACATGAAATATATAGATTACATAATAATCTTCATGGATAGACTTTAACGGTCATATAATGAGGATGGGTTTCTGTTCTCAGGCGACAAAGACCATGTCAGGATAGACTAAATACTTTTAATAATTTGATTTCTCATATAAAAATAAAAGCCTGTATGGTTTGATTAAAGTAAAAAAATAGATTCAGTAGAGTCTGTCTCTTTGGAACCAAACTCTTATATATGAACTAATATAAGTTAGTCTGAACATAAGAAGTAATGAAAAATACAAAACCAAATGTGCAAAACTAGTAAACTGCAGTCAAATAATAAAGGAACAACAATAACAACTGGGCTGCGCCAGACGAGCAAGTTAAGTTGTGACTTGTTTATACATGGCTATATGAATACAGTAATCGGCAGTTCATATTTTGTGATCGTCCAAAAACAAGTCCGAACAATGGTCTACTGTAATTTTAAGTTGTTATGTAGCCTTTCAAACAAATAGTCAGATTTTAAATTTTAAATTCAGATTTTCACCTGTTTTTCACCAAGAGTTCCTTCAGTTTTTGAGCCGTACTGTCTTGGTGAGGTTGAAAAGAAGATGGACAATGGATGTTGATGTTAAGAACGTCAGTAGCCAACACAGATCCAGAAGGAGATATCACTGCTACTTTGCAGCCTTTGTTGAAACCTGCCAGCAATAACTAGATTTACTAGTCTCTCTGCAAGTCAGTTTATGGATAGCTTGAATATCTATGGTTGCTGGAATTATTGCTTACAGTAGCTAGAATGCTTGCTTACTGCCAAGAAAATAAATACCTCCGACAATTAAAGGATTTGTACAGTTTTAATGAAGGGATTCCAACTCAAACAGAATATCTGACTCATCCAACCAATGTTAGGTCCATAGCTAGTCAGGTTACCTGGATCAATTCCCATGATGACAGTGCCTCGTAACGGAGGAGTGAGAAGAAGTTTTTTCAAGTTTGTAGCAAACACTTCAATGGCAGCTTGTTCTGCCTCTTGGTTCAAAGAAGATCGGATCTGTCGAGCGATCAGCGGGTGAACTGAAATAAAGGAGATAATCATTTACTTTTTAATAAATGAAATTCCAAATATAGTAAAAATTTGAAACAAGTAGGACTGTACAATATACATACAAAAATGTTCATGTTTACTCCTACAAACACGTCTTTTTAGATGGCCTACTAAAGGGCTAAAAAGGAATAAATGAGTTTTTCCAAAGACTTACTCAACCTGGTGAATGCGTCCCTGAAGCTTTTCTCAAACATGTGGTTTCGCAAAGTGTACTCGTAGCCTGTTCTCAACCATTTATCTTTACAAAAATGATGCATTTTGTTTGTAAACCAATCGGGAATGGCAACTTTGACTGATAAAACCTTTTGGTTCTCCCCTCTATTCAGAGCTAAGACCTGAAAGAGGAACAGCTTAAATAACGATTATGTACAATGAATTGTTTTTACAAGTAGCGCTTAGCTATTTAACATTTAAAATCCTATTGTGGCAAGAGTTTAGTTTCTCATTGTTTCTTCTACTTTAGTTTGTGAAATATCTTTAGCATTCCACTTTGTATCTGGATGTTTAAATATTTTCTCGCTTCATCATTGCTTCTTTAAACACACGGTGAAAACATTGGCTCTGATGAGAAATAAATTAGGGGGAGTTTATGCAAAAACTAATAATGTATTTTCAAAACTTTATTTTTACAATTTAAAGTTAAATATGTAACTTAACTAACTTATTCACCTGGTGAATTTTCCCCAAATTAGAACTCATTGGATTGTTTTGTTTTGAGCATTTTAGTAATACAATCTAACTAAAACCATAGATAAAACATGCTCCCTTAGTAGATTTCTCATCCTTATGGAACAGCTGAAGCAAATTTTATTGTAAGTTCTGTCCAATGCACTGTAGAGGTCGTGTTTTATTTACAATTTGTTTCTTGTTATTTCAGTCATTTAAAACCTCGTTTAACCAAATAATACGATCTAATCTTAAAAAATAACTCGTCCCATAGTTGTTATATAACCAAACAGTAAAGCTCAAATCATAAAATTAACCCTAAAATATTAGAAACAAAATTTCGTCAACACTACCGATCAGTGTCACCAAACATAAACTAGACATGAAAAACGAGCCTCATAGTTTACAATGAGATGAGAAGTCTACTTGTATTGGTTAGTCTATGAGAGAGATATAGAATAGTTTATTAATCACTCAGATCTTAGTATCAAATAGATCTTTAGCAATGTAACTGTGAGATAATATTCTCTTCCAAAACACAATGGGATTGTAGGTTGAAGGATGAAAGAGCAGTAAAATACCTGATGGGGTTTTACATGTCGTACAGGAACGGAGAAATTATAATAAATTTCATATTTCCCTTCTTCAATGTCTTTACTTTGCCCAGCCTGGCTTTCCTTTTTCACTTTTCCACTTTTTGCGCCACTTTTTGCTGTTCTAGATAAAGAGCTTTCAATTCTTATTGTAGTTGTTGCATTTTTCAACCTGCAATAAATAGGAGTAAAATTATTATCCATCAATGGGGTTTCAAAAACCTATACAGTGTTTAAATCCTGGTGATTGAGTTTAACTGCAAGTCATGCTTACTGCAACATAGTCACCCTTTTGGAGTTACTTATGAAACTATTTATGAACTCATGAATTCTATGGAAAAAGTGTCTCTAAATATACAAATTTTAATTCAATCTCCAAATTGCAATATCTGTAGTATTTTCTTTCAAGCAAATTACAGGAATTCCCAAATTATCAATTTGTGCTCCACTAAAGAAATATTTTATTTTTTTTAATAGCTTCAATCTTGTGGTTAATAATTTTTCCTGGAAGATAATTAATTTTTGATGGTCACACATTTTAGCTACTACAAATATGTACACAAAGTGTGTGTAAAAGGTGTTTGATGCTTAAATGGACTCATATCTTTTCAATATTATTAATACTTCCTTTGCTGATGTAATCAGCCATGATGTAGGATGTGATTTGACTATCAATAGCAGAAGAAAATGAACTCACATATTTTTTTAATGATCCAGCACCTCTTTGTATTAATACCATCTGCTATCGTGCAGAAAATTATTTTATGATTAATAGCAGATGAAACATGAAAGTGAACTCACATAGTTCTCAAAGATGCAATACCTGTTTGTTTGTGCTGATAGAATCCATTATTATATAGGGTGATTTTATGATCAGTTAGAAATACAATTGAACTAACACAGTTTTCAAATGATCCTCTTTTTATTGGCTTTTGTTTACATATTGGGATGGATCCATGATCAATGTTGGATGAAAACGAACGCTCAAATGATGCAGCACCTCTTTTAATTTGCTTGTCATCAGCCACGCGAGATGATTGTATTATCAATAACAGATGAGATGAAGGTTACTCACATGGTTCTCAAGTGGTCCAGAACCTCCTTATCTTTGCTGATAACATCTGCTATGATGTATGAGATGTTGTCTTCTACAGCCCACAATGTCTCCCTGCCAGGAACATCTTTCCTGATGAGAGGCTCCATGGCGACATAGTCTGAGCCCTCCAGCAGTGTCATGGCCACCGGCTCCAGCCCCAGCTGTCTCGCTGTGTCTGCCTTCGTCTTTTTGCCTCCCGTTTTGTAAGGAGCGTACTGGAACATGAAACGGCACCAATAAATAAATCGACTCTAGTTTTCATAGCTCAGGTATGTATCTAACTTATATTGAATATGTTACATTAATATGCTTACATATTGCATATTCGACAAAAATGAGTAACTTATGATGTTATGTTACGAAACATGGGGATGCGATTTCTAGTTCTATTATAGCCAAAGGTTCTGGTTTGTTCAGGATCTTGCTATTTTAAAAAAAGTAGTAAGTAAAAGAAAATAAATTATTGAAAGTGTGAATGTCTTTTAGTCCTACGGTAGATAGGCTATATTTAGATTGAGGTAATAGATATTGTTCAATATTCAGTGTAATTGTGATTTGTTAAATATTCAGTGCAATTGTGATTTGTTATAATAATGCTTTCTTTCATCTAAAAATAAATACAGATGGCATTGATTTTTAACTTGTTTTAATGTTTAAAACAACATGTGATTTTAACAATTAACTATTAATAATTCTGTTAGTTGAAAACATGAACATCAAGAAATGAAGATCCCTCTCTCTCTTTTGTAATGTACTCTTTTAAAGTTCTGTGAAATCACTCAAAGTTTAATTGTTAACTCCGCTTATCTTATAAATACAGTCCACTCCACACGCTACCGAAAATTCTACAGATATATTAATACAGTTAGACATTAATTTGATTGGAACCCTGAAACCCCATAACAAATACAGTTGTAGGTTCTACACTACTTGTGCTTTAAACACTCTACTTGTAGTGTTGCACCCATCTACAGTTGATATAGCAAAAATCAAATGTCAATCAAATCTACAGCTTCATTTGAGGCCTATCTATAGCTGATTTTTCCTGAAATAAAACTGTTTGTATGATCGCTGGATACTCTTTCTGCTTCAATTTTGATTGAAGACAGTTCATCATCTTCGTTGCACTTTTATCACGGTCTCAATAAACCATTAAATACACTGTGCTTTCAACTTAATCTACATATTGCAACTGTATGTTTTTAAAAATTCAAACACACTAAAAACAGTGGAACAGCTTGTCGTGTTGAAGGGTACTAGAGCTTAAAGATGCCAGCTTTTAAATTAGCCATAGTTGACTTTTCTACGATTCTTGGTTACACAATAAACAAAAGCCATAAACAATCAAAACTAGGATCATAAACATGCAAGAATCAATTTTAAATAGTATTGTGACAATAAGGACTTTAAAATAAAATACCCCTGCCGCAGCAATCCTGCAGACTAAGCGAATTTCAATTTACCAGTAGAGTCCGTTTAAATAACATTAGGTTTAATAAGTACCTAGGGTTGTTGCTACAGGGAGGGTGATAAAGTGTGTTTTTTAGTAAAATATTAATAGCTTAGTATAAAATAAATTAATTTACCAAGTTTGATCAAAATATATCCATAAACAAGCAAACTACAACAGTTTACTTTTTCTCCGTAAGAATAACATGGAAAATTTAAAGTTTACAATTTATTCAATTTTCTCTGTAGCCAATAACCGCACAAAACACTGCAATATACTAAATTAGGCCTATTTGTTTTTTAAGTTCTTTCAAATGGTGTAAAGAGGAATTGGAAAATTTTATGTTTTGAGGGTCAAAAATGAGAATGAGAAATCTGTATATACAGAGTGTCCCACAAAGAGGTTTAGAAGTTTGATTTTATATTACATGCCCATTTATTCACCGAACATTTTGAAACTTTACACAATTTTTGAATTAGGGTTTGAAAATATTCTAGGAAAGTCTCAGCTACCTAACCCGTATAGAAATAATGGTGTTACATTGAAAAATAATATCATGTTGTTAGCCAAGTGAAGTCTAAAGCTACACCAATTGTTTTGTCGCCAGCTTGGCACTACCTGACTCGAGATGCTCTGACATTTTTCAAGCATGAAACAGTAGTACTTAAATTATAATAGACCCACCACCGATCAACAGAAACTTTGGTTACCTATAGCACATAGTTTAAATTAACAGCCGCTTTGTTGAACCTCAGAGCAAAATCTACAAATCATTAAAAAAACAAAGGGGAAAATCAAGAAACTCACCAAATGTTCAAGCTCAACTAAGCTTCTTGCTCCAACCACACATCTTTCCAAATGAGGTGTGAGTTTACCTAGTTTGTTGATGGCTTTCAAAATAGACACTGCTTTAGCCTGTATGGACCTGGTAGAATATTAAAAGAAAAAGACTGTAAATACCTACTACACAAACACAACTTATTGGGTGCACTTTTAACATGATGTATCACAAAATGTCAATACAGTACTGAAAATGAAATTATTGATTGTGGAATCATATATTTTAACATAAAACCCTTAGAGCTAAAAAGAACGTGTACTACATAAAAGTAATGATGGCAGTAAAACAACAGGGAAATCAGCTACAGTTTTTCAGTCAGTTGATATGATAGTCGTAAATGTGGGTATTGTTAGAGAGGCTGCATACTAAAGTTTTATATGGGCAGGGCACTGTTCCGTCATCATTCATTTTTAAAGTGAAGAGCATGCTTTTTTCGACGAGGATTACTTTGTAAGTAAATTTTCTCTGATCGCGTCCCAGGATGCCTTTTTGTTTAGCCTGGCTGGCCCCTAACTTGAACCAAAAACAATAGTTGCAAGGACAAGTATGTTTAAGCAAACTGCAAGTACTGTAAAGCAACGAGCTGAAGTCCCTCAGCCCATTAGATTACTTGGGAACATTAAAGCAGCGAATGCTTCAATATTGAGATCACTTCAGCGTTCTGCTCTCAAACAAGAATTTTTTTTAGTTTCTGATAGTTTTGACAAGATAACTCTTTATGAGGATGCTACCCTTACAATATTGTTTCGATCTATTTTACCTTTATTATTGACGAGTCGCAAGGCTGTAGCCAGGGGAGGGTTAGGGGGTCAAACCCCCCCCCCCAAATCCCAAAATTTAGTAGTAAAAATTAACACTAGGATGAGGTATTACAGTATGGTTAGAAATTAATAAATGCAATCGTCATAGTTTAAATTTGTAAATGTCTACTTGCTTATGACAAACAACAGGTTAAATGGGAGTTTTTTTTTACGATTGAAGACAGTTTTAGGCATCCCCCAAGCCCCCCGGGAGCCTCCCCATGACAAGGTCCCTGAACTGTTATATTTAGTTTTGAAATAAGGAAGTTATGTTGTCACACTCCCTATTATCTTCTGTGCAGTCCTGTAATCACTCTTTTAAAAGACGATTTTAATTTTTCAATAAACACTTTTCACATGGTGGAAGGAAAATACATAGTTGTGCTATTCCCGTCATATGCTGACGTCACTCAGATTGCAAACACCATTTTACCATTTAGAAAAATTATAAAAACAATAACAATCAAATCAAAAAATATATACTTATATGGCAACACATCAGCTGATTTATTGTTTGCAATCTTGGGTGACGTCAGCAAATGACGGTAATAGCACACCTATGTATTTTCCTTCCACCATGCTCTTTTCATCGATTGGCGGTGAATGTCATATTTGAAGCCCATGCCCTTTGGGGTTTGTTGGAACAAGTTAATTTGATTAGATTAGATTAGATTTTGATGACAAGACACCAGAGTGTGTAGATAAGAGTGTTGAATAGAATAAATAAGATGATATCTTGGTTACTTACTTAGATTTTTTTTAGAGGTTGGCTGCCTCCTTTAACCTTGGATTTGCCCGTCCACATAGACTAAGCGCCCGTGCATGGAACGTTTACAGCAAAGCAAGGAGTGAGCCGGTACAGTACAAAGGTGAACTGTACTGATAAATTTTAGTGGCAGTGACCAGGATCCGAACCCACGACATCGCTGCCTTGGGCCCGAAGTCCGTGACGCTACCGACTGAGCCACCGACTCACTAAAGATTAGCTGGTTCTAGCCAGGTTGGTTTTTATAATCAATTGTAGGTAACTAATTTTTTCCACAGTGGCGACTCAAAGCATCAACATTATTCTCTTCACCCCATCATATAAGATAAAGGTGGACAGGTGGATTAACATGTTTCAAAGTTTACTTTATTTGACGTTAAGAATTACAAAATGAGTCACACCTTACTAAATTTTAGTTTTCATCACAGTCCTGACTTTTCCTTGTAATGGGTGACCCAGGAATTCTATTAAATACTAGTTGTATTCACCAGGGTTTTAAAATTATCCATCTTTCGACGTTGTCAAGTGATTTCCACGCAAAACACAGCCTGAAAACACGGTACTTGACACAAGCCTAGGTTAACACTGAAAAATCGTTTAACAGAAGTGTTTCCCCCGGTCACCATTATGCATATGATAATGGCTTGACAGAAGCCAAAAACTGAGGTTATCAACTACAAGTTCAAGTCAGAGCTGTGACAGAAAGTTTGGTAGGTATATGTGCATTAGTATGGCATGGTGGCTAATCACAATGAATAATAAAGGACTTGAACCAAAGCACACAACCATGACTCAACGGAAGCAGCCTAGAAATGCCTAACAAAGTAACCCCCAACCCCTCAACAATTGACCCAGAACTAAGTATTTTAATTGTAATGGTATCAGTTATTAACCATGCATGGTTTGAAATTGCTGTCAACAAATGTTATGTGATAATTCATAAAATACCCTCACCACAGCACGCCTGGAGACTGAACAAATTTCCATTTACCTGGTTGGAATTTTACTAAAATATCCCCTTAAAATTGTCAGAATTATTTCCCATTTAAATATAATTAATTTCAATGAGTGCTTGGGTTTGCTGCTACAGGAAAGGTAGTAAGGAGTGTTTTTATTGAAATGTTGATAGCTTAATATAAATATGTAAACAAATTTGCGCCAAATGGGATCAAGATAAATTCATAAACAAGTAAACTACAACAGTAAAAAGAATATGCCTGGGCGACTTCATTGATCTCAGCAAGGCATTTGACAGTGTAAGTCGACCATGATGTCCTGCTCCATAAGTTAGAGTTTTTATAGTGTCCAAACTAATGTTTTCATAGCACATACCTTTATGCTGATGACACAACTTTGCTTACACTCAGCAGGGATTTAGAATCTCGAATCTCTCGAGCTTGAGGCAAAACACTCTGTAAACGTAGCAGCAGAATGTTTTTTCTGCAAATAGCTTTTTGTTAAACAATGAGATAACTCAAACTATGGTCTTTGGGTTTCGTAAAATTTCTGAAGTACAGTGTGACAAGGTCAAAGTTTTTGGGTGTTTATATGGATCAACTACTGTCATGGTCATACCATATTGAACATCTCTGTAATAGACTCAGTAGATTAACATTTATTTTCAGAAAACTCCATTGTAGATCCTGTAGAAAAATCCATTGTAAAGAATGCAGTATTGATAATCTAATTACGGCGGATGGTGCCTGCAATCTGACCATGGCAACCCCTGCAGCAACTTCTGATCGGGACTGTACTTGGTGAAATTAGGAGCTTGTGAAACGCTCTGCTTATTAAATTAGTATGGAGTTTGTGAAATTTGAAGTTTTTGAAACAATGATTATTTAAAATTTATACTCTTGGACTTGTTTATATTTGGAGTTCGTAAAACGCTCCCTTACTTTATTACTGAGTAGCTACTGGTATCAATTGTACTTAACCGAGATATTTTGTAAATTTGGCAAGGCAATGTTGTTATTGTATATAAATATATTTTAATCTTAAAGACATACATTATTTGAACTAGGAAATATCTCTCTTATGTAAATGAGTTCAGACCTTACCTGATATTTTCAAACGCTTCCTTGGCTTTTCTCAGGTCTTCCGGACTCATGTCCCCTGTGAGTTCTCGGCGATATCGGGCGATAAACGGAATGGTGTTATCATTTTCAAAAAGCTTTATGATATTTTCTGCGATTTGTTGGTCTGTCTGAATCATTTCTGAAAGAAGTTCGCTTTTCTGCCATGCTGGTTTTGGAACCTACAAATTGTGACCTCAAAATAAAAAGTGAACTGTTATAAATAAGATGGAAACCGAATGTTAGACGCTTAAAGAAAAATATCTTATTATCAGTGTCTTTGGTATGAGTTATCTATTCTATTTATGATTTTTTTTAAATACTTAAATTAAGAATCTGTAGAGATTTACTTAATGAAATCAGGAAGCTAAAATATATATGATGAACATTTAACTAAAATCCAAAGGAGAAAATTATATTACAGATTCATACAACACTGCACATTAAAGTGTGTACTTTAAGTTGAAGATGAGTTTAAAAGGAATAAGGGGATAGCTTTGATACTGTAAAAAATAATCACTATCTATAGCTTAATGTTCAAGGACAGTTGGGAGAAATTTTGAACATTAACAACTACTGACTTTCCTCAAAATCAAGGCAACCTACTGATCACCACCCTACTGATACTGAGCACTATATCCACTCACCTATGCTGAATGAAATTAACTAATAAAAATGCATAACTGTGCATTTTGTACTTGTAGGCATAAACTGTCAGTCATCATTTTATATTTGATTACCAAACCCTCCTTTTTGTTCCCTTTCTTCCCAGATGATTTTTACCATAGCATTTTATTTACACCTCACCTACCAAAGATTACTGCCATAGACAAATAGAACAAAATAGACCGTCAGCTGTGCTGCGGTTAGCATAAGTTCTGGCGTCCACCAGCAAGGATTGCCGTGTAGTTACGTTGCACACCGCTGCAGCGTCTGCTGGTATCATAAGGGAGGATCCGACGACGGCAGCGAATCGAAAACCGAGCGGCACATCGCTGAACCTTCCTCTGACAGTCTATATTTGTTCTATTTGTCTATGCTACTGCTCAACCACTATTTTATTGGGTCCTTTATACTGTTTCAAAATAATTAGTTCTGGGGTGTGTTTCAATATACTGTAATAAAATTGTTTGTAGATAACAAAGTCTTGTTTTATAACAAAATAACATCTATAGGTCAAATAGCAACAAGCAACAAACAACATAAAATGTTGCCTTGTTTTGGGCTTGGGACTGTGCGTGTTGCGTATCACACAAACAAGGAGCCCATGTTGGTATTCAGTACAAGAATTAACTGTTCTAATAAATCATTATGGTAACATTGGGAACTGAATCCAAGATATGGCTGTGATTGTTTTGCAGTTCGCCATAAAACCAACTGGTAATTTTTTTTATCAACTCAGTTTCTAAAGTTCTAGGCTTTTGAGAACAAGATCAGGCCACTTCATGACGTTTGCCTGTGTGGAAAAGATTTTCTGTATACTAATTATTCCGTTTGGGAAGTCACAGGCCAATATCTTTTCTAAATTCATATCTGAACAATAAAGAACAGAAGGTTTTGGCAAATAGTGGTTCAAGGAATTTTGCTGTTTGTCCTTTGCTATTTCTTATTTGTGTCTACAATTCATCTACCTTCCTAAGTGTGGGACACCATAATGCTCATGACAACACTTTAATTGATAAGCAAAATATGTTAGTGATAAGCAAAATATGATAACCCACAATACTGTTTTAGACAGCTTCATAATAGCATAAACACCGGTAGAATGTGATGCTTTTCTTCTGAATTACCCAAAGGCACATGATGTATTCTGTAGCGTTAAAAACGGTTTAATACCAATAATATTTAGCACAATTTAATTGAGTACACTTGTGTTGTCGGTGGATGACCACATTGATTATCAATTTCAAAAACTCTGTTGAGATAGTTTCTTTTTAAACATTTTGAAAAGCCTACTGACAATGATAACTAATGGCTTATACTTTGCCTATTCCCAGTGGAGGAGCACAATTAAAATTTCTGACATCTTTACTTTGCAAAAATAGGCAGTTCCTTAAACAGTTTACTCCACTCAAACATTGTATTATTTATTTATTAACTTTATATTTACAACTGTAATTATCTTACTTTGGATCATCTTACTTACTGTTATGGTACGGTAAACATTTTGTTCCCCATAATGCTTTGAAAATTTTACATTGCAGACAAAAGATTTGTTATGATTCAATGGAAGTGTTTTTTTTTTTTTTCGATAGGATGATACAAATTATTAAAACTATAAACTAGAATAAAGTGAAATTAAGGGAAATAACGACAAACCCTTGTGGTGTACAATGTTTTAATAAATCTTCTGTTATAAAATTTCCAAGCACAAGCATCTATTGACATTTCACTACCTACTTATCTACTTACAATTACACTAGTGGAAGCAATTCAAATAAATTAAGAAAAACTTGACATTGCATGTAAAAATAGTATGTTTATTGTTTGCAATAATCTTCTCTTATATGTTTACATCGTCAATCTTCACTGTGGAGAAATTTAACACTAGTTCCTCGGTTCAGTATCGGATTGACTCTACCAGAGAATAAAATGTGGTTAAAAAATACACGTTAGATAAAAGTTTCTTAAATCATACAAAAAATTTGTACTAAAATTATTTTTTTTATTAGATTGGAATTATAAAAGTTTGTTGAAACTATAAGTGTGATTCGTTTAACATTAAACATTCATAAAATAAAATCTGTTTACTAAGCATGCAATTTTACTGTAAAAAAACCCATAAACAAAGCCTTTTTTCTACAATGATATAAAATATATAAATCAACAATTAACATTAACAGACTATAAATTAAGAAACTTTATACAAAGAAAACAAAAATATATTTTGCAGTAAAGTTAAATATCAAAATATGTAGACAAAATAAATATCCTTTCTTCCACATCAGAAAAAGTGTATGTTCATTGATTTTTTGTCAATGTTGTGTCTCTGTCCAACAGAAACTAAAAACATACTACAAATTCAGGCTTTTAAGATTCAACATAAAAGTTTGTGAAAAAGTGTCACAACAAAGTTACATAGTGTAAAATGTTTGACATAAAACTTCGCACAACACTCACTGGAGAAGGTTTTTGTAGGGTTTTGAATTAATTGTCAATTATTTCAAACTCTTTTTCCGTGTTGAACATGGCAGTGAAAGTATTTGTAATGTAAGAGAGTGAAAAATTCATTACAACTAACTGGCATAAATACAAACAACCATATTTTACCAGAAACCTATCAAACAGGCCCTAAAGTTTATAAACAACATGTTAGTAAAAAAACTGTAACCATACTGAATTCAAGTAATTTGTTTACTTTCTAATCTGCTTTCAATTTGGTTTTCAATATTTAAAATAATGACTTACTACTGGTGGTGGTAAAATTTTTTTGTAATGGCTCGAGTGCCATGTTTTTTTTAGTTAATACGATCAATCTGGCTTATTATTATGAATTAACTATGGAAGAGTAGTTGTACATACATACATTTGTATCAGTAACAGTGTTGTTTGTATTTAACAGCAAAACCAGAAGGAAACCATTTCGGGGTTTAATTTATAAATAAACAGTGTACAAAATTTACGTTTTGTTAATTATCCAGTTTAAGGAATGGTGACTGAGACGATAAAGAAAGTTCATCACGCAAGCATAACTGGTCTTCTAAGATATGGCATCAAGAGTGCCAAAATCTGCTTTAATTTGTAATTTATTGTGAAATTAAAGTTGAGTTTTAAATTAGTTGAGTAAGTTGTGTTTTAAGCAATTATTAAATAAATCAACTGCAACACCGTTAAGAGGGAAATGAATGGTGATGCTTCATGTTTGTGACAAGAGGAAACGGGACGAACTTAAGCAATTCTGCTCCAGACCTCGCTACACCACTGAGACTAAGTGAATTTTACAAATTAAATTGTACTAGCGTTTAGCACTTTGTTACTTTTTTCATTTTGAGTTTTTTGAGTTAGGCCTAGTTTAGACATTGTTCGTTGTAAAAATTTTCCCTTGAATTGAAATAGTGCTATAAGTCCTATATATAAAAGCTTTATCTATTTCCAATTTTTAGATATTCTATTATCAAGATGTGCAAGTTTCACTGTAATTTAATACTTTTGAATTTACGTAAGCTTAAGAACTGTTTGTTAAGTTTTCCGTAGTTGAAACTTTTTTACTACTAAACCACTGGTGGAATTGATTTACTGTATACCTTGACATTTTTTATAAAACCTAGTGTAACAGTGATGAACAGCAAAAAGAGTATTCTTCCTTTGGGAAAAAGATACAATGAATTACTGGTGTAATCAATACTGTACTAAGTTACAGGCTACATTTTATACTTCGAGCAAAGTTATGAACACACATTTATATTCTGCCACCACTTAAAAATACCACTACACTATTAAACTACTTTAAAAGTTTGAGACATAAACTTATTTAATTCTTTCCCTGAGAAAAAGGGGGAAGGAAAATATAATCACATTGAAGACCTAGGCCTACAGGTATTTAATAAGTTGGGACTTGTGCTTCTTCAGATGTCAAACAGTATTTATGTAAATAAATATAATGAGAATCAACAACCCTTTGTCTAATTCTAAATTAGGTGTTAAACTAGACATTATGTTATTTTAGCTAGACTACGACAATATTGGATATTAAATCAACTTGAATACTATTAAGAACAAAACTATTTTAACTATAACCATTTCATACTATTTACATACGGTTAAAGACTTTTGTGGCCCAACGAGTAACTAAAAACCAGAAATGACACAGAAGAAATTTCATATAGAAATTCAGTCTCGTTTCTTTTAATTGTAACATTAAAAACCAATATTGAACTGAGTAAAAATATGTCCAGCACAGATAGCCTGTAGGCTAATAAGATGGATAACAGAGTACTACAATGTGAGTTTCTAGAGAATACAGTTATCTGTAACTACTATACGTATTTAAATCCTGAGTCGTAAGGAATATTTCATTTAGGAATACTGTTTTTGTCAGTGATTAAATTTCTTACAAAACTAAAATTATTCGCTTAACTTTTTAAATTTGTACAGTCATGATTAAAATAACTGCACTGAAGACGACAATGTCGGCAGTACAGTTATAAATGACTAACATTACTAGGAAATGTTTATAGGTATCCGTTACACAGTACTTAATTACGATGAACTTACACTGTAATCGGCAGAGGCTGGGTTACTCTCATCGGCTGTGTCGTTCTCCCTGTCAGCCTCACCATCTGCTTCAGTTTCTTTCTCTGCAGGGTCTGGATTATTTGACAGCTCATCTGACAAATCATTTGAGTTTTCCTCCTTAACTTCTTCCTTTGCCTTTTTCCCTCTCGGTTTTCTCGGTTTCTTCTCGCCCTTCTCTTTCTTCGGCTTTGGTTCTCTTTTGGCTTTAGTTTTGGGTTCTCTCGGCTTTCTAGGTTTTTTCGGTGACTTTTCCGCTTTCACTTTCTTTTTGGGAGAGGCGGCTTTTCCTTTTCTCGGATCCCAGTCATCCTCGCTCTCAGAATCATTTTTCCTCTTCTTAGTATAGTAACCAAAGCCATCTAAGGAGTCTTCACTATCGGAAAATATCACAGGAACTGAAAATAACAAACATATTAACACTTTCTGTTACTTATTTGAATTTTAATAAGTACTTAAGTACTTTGTTTAAGAGACATTTTATAAGTTTCAATTTGAGGTTCCACATAACTGATCAGAACTGTTCATAAATGAAGTGACTTACAATCTCAATCTTGCAAAAGAAAGAAATAGCTCAAGCATAAGCATCCTCTAACTTTGAAGTTTAGTCTAATTCAAGGGAATTTTTAAATAGGCCTAGGCTATTACATTTTGCGTACGGTACAAACAGTACCCTAACAATATCTTTGTAGGCTTAAGAGGCCAGTGTCATCACAGAGTTCTTGATCTTATGATGAAAGCCGCCTCAAACCGGTATTTAGACTATCTATATATATAAAAGGCAAAGCCCTCACTGACTGACTGACTGACTGACTCACTCACTCATCACTAATTCTCCCACTTCCCACTTACCTAGGAGGCTGAAATTTGGTACACTGATTCTTTAGGCATTAAATAGGAAAGCTAAGTGGTTTTTATTCTGATCGGACTCTCGGGCTCCGCCCCAGTGGCTCTGGAGTTTCCCATGTTAACCTAATGAGTACTCATTTTTAAATGGAATTAATGAATCATAACAGCTATTTCAATTAAACAAGTTGGTTCTGTTCTATGATGTTCAATAGCATTAAACTTACAAGGATTGCCAACAGAGTGCAGCACTATTACTTTTTTTTATATTTGACAACAGGTAATTTGAAACCAAAAGGTAAGTGAGCGTAGCGAACGAACTTCAACCCGGAGGCGAGGTAGCGTAGCGAACAAGCTAACCTGAAGGCAAGTGAGCGCAGCAAACGAGCTCTAACCCAAAAGTGAGTGAGCGTAGCGAACTAACTTCAACCAGGACGTGATTGAGCCATCCGAACGAGCTCACGTATGAAGTTAAACGGGGCAAAGCCCGCGGGTACAGCCAGTTTACAATAAATACCATTCCTTTAACACGTTCGCTACTGCAATAGTACCAAATTTTTCATTTGGGCCTATTTGTTTTGATTTTATGGCAATATTTCTGTTTGGTTATCGGATTTGAAATCCTTCGGAGCTATTAGATGTGCATGAAAACCATGGAACTTTCCCTTGAAAACACTCATGAGATCTAGAGGTTTAAGTTTAGCATAACCTATACACTGTACTTACTATCAGGCTTTGCTCTAAGTCGATTAGATTTGTCGCTGTTTGAAGTTTTCTCTGTTTTTACATTGTTGGCCGGTTGTGATGTTGAATCAGTTGAGTCGTGATTGTCCTCGTCTGTTGCAGGATCCATTTCTGATACCAGCAGATTTACAGTCCTCGCTCAGGAGACCTTAAGACATCACATTATAATATTAAGAAAAACACCCAAGCTCAGAGGAATTTGTCAACATCAAATATGTTACGGGCTACTGTACTGATAAGCTTAACATGTTTAATCAATATAGGCCTACAGGATTTACAGTTGGAGCTGAACCAATACCAAACATCATTCATGAGTTGAATCTTGTTGAAGTTAAATGACAACTCAACTAGGTATTTAACTTATTTAGAGTAAAGCCAGTTACAGTAGGCAGGTACTACTGTGGTATTTAAAGTTCCTTATAGTCTCAGGTTAAAACCTCTTTCTCCATCGATTATGACAGGTAAACCATAGAACACCCGCCACACAAATCAATTTAAAGGCGTGAGGCAACATAAACGTTATTGCTGTAAGTAGGTCTATTGTAAAAAAGTAACTTTTTTTCATGATGGTTGGCCACTGGATCGTTAAAATTAGCACTAATAAGGTTTATGTTACCTGGCTTCTGTCTCCGATCCACGGTAGTTTTTAAGAAACTACAGCTGTTTCGTGCCCTCTACTGGCACATATTCAGGTCTGGTGAATGCAAGCTCTTCTATAAAATATCCCTCGGTGTTGAGTTTGTCATGGTTTTACAAAATACATGTAGACATTTACACACACGAAAACACGCACGAAACATTTAAACACTAATTAAGGAACGACTGTGAAACGTGATACTTACTTGTGATACTCACCTTACGTGTGACTTACCCTTCACCAGCGCCGTATCACGTTTCGCAGTCGTTCCTTAGTGTTTAAATGTTTCGTGCGTGTTTAACCATGACAAACTCAACACCGAGGGATATTTTATAGAAAAGCTGGCGTTCACCAAACCAGCTGGTGAGGATGTGCCAGTAGAGGGCACGAAACAGCTGTAGTTTCTTAAAACTACCGTGGATCGGAGACAGAAGCCAGGTAACATAAATCTTATTATAGCTCGGCCGCTTAGAAAACGTCTGCGCGCTAATGCTAAACCAATGCTGGAGGAGGTCGTTTTCTAAGCGGCCGAACTATAGTATAATTTTTTTATACCCTCCCCATTAGTAACTGAGCTGGAGAATAATCGTCAGTGTTGTTTTTCATTGATATTATATAAAGGTTGAATGGGTTCGTCTTTGTTTTGCCTTGTTGTTTAACCTAACCTAACCTAACGGAGTTTTATTATGTTAGGTTAGGTTGGGTTAGGTTGGGTTACGTTAGGTTAGGTTGGGTTAGGTTAGTAGGTTAGTTTAGGTTTTTTTTTAATCTTTCAGTTAAATAATTTAAGGTTTGCGAAATACCACCATCTATTCCCTCAATTGACATTGGATAAAGTAAGGATTTTTTCTTATATGAGGATGGAGTTAACCACATTTAGTTACATCCTCAAGAAAGTCTATTAATTAGCATGTAGTTTGAGTGGTTTGTCCCAAATAGCCCCTCTTCTAAAGATTTACGGGTGATTTATTTTTCGATATATCTATAGTTTTGTTTTCTTTAACCATCCATAAGTTATTCCTTCTTCTGTTTTAATATCTTAAAACGCATTTAAATAAAAAAATTGAGAACTAATCTTGAATAGGCAAAAGTATGGATATGGATTAAGAAATGAAAACTGTGTTCTAAACTAACCTAACATAACTAACCAAACTTGCCTTACGATTTTAAAATTCTGTTTGATAATAGAAAAGGCAAATATGGGGAATATCAAACGGAATTTTGAAATGTCACAGCAAGTTTGGTTAGCTAGGTTATGTTAACTTAGTTTATTACAAAAGTTTAATTTCACTATAAGTTAACTAAGAAACTTTTTTAAATTGTTTGTTGATACTGAACAACGCTCATTTAAGTTATTTATCGAAACATAAAGTTAGTTGTCACCTGATATGTTTCAATTTGTTAGCCTAATATCGGTACATTGGATTAAAAAATAAAATATCGATATATTATTGAAAAGAATTCATCGATAATAATGAATGTTCCCCTTAACACGTTCGCGGCGGCACATCAAATCCAGTGGCGGCGTATCTCCAGTGCGGCACGGCCCTCAGCGCCGAACAAACCCGATTGCCGCGTGTGATTGGCTTTCCAATTTCGTCCTGACGAATAGCAAATAACGTGCGAGGATGTCCTGCTTTACAACGAGAGTCGACGTAGTTAGCTTAACACCCACAGATAGCAGCACTGCTTGGAACGTAGCCGGTCCCATTGGAATTGTATTGCCAAATGGAGGGAAAAAGACGGGACAAAAAGTAGATTTATGAGATTGCCAGACGGGGATTTTACGGGGAAATTTACTACCAACCTACACCACAACAAAATACAGTATACTATCCAGCAGTGCTGAGCGAGGTTTCAAGTTTCTAGCTCTAATCCTGGCTTAAAAATAAAATCATTTCGTACTGCATTGCAGCTTGGGAGCGATCCCACCCACCAGGTTGGCATTAGGGTTCCGTATGGGAGCGATCGCTCCCATGCCGCCGCGAACGTGTTAAAAAGAAAGTAGGTACCTTGAAAAAACTAAAAAGAAATCTGGTTGGGTGATATAAATCTTCTTAGTTCTAGACTGTAATACGCTTAAGCCCACCCTACAGCCTTTAAAACACATTTAAGCCAATTTAGGCTAGGGCAAGCACAAACCTTTGAAGAGTTTGAAGTTTGGGTCAAAGTTGTTAAAGCTAAAATAAGTTAGGCAAACCACAAAAGCAAATGAATAGGCTACAATATTTAGGATCTTACAAATCAAAACATGACTCAGCTGGATATAAGTTGATTGGAACTGATCTTAGGCCTAACATTCACAAATTGGATTTTACAAACTAGGCCTTAATAAAAGTTTAGGTTTCTTATTTTTTCCAAGTAACTTATTTTAGGCCTAAGCCTAGGCCCTAAACGTAACACAAAAGAAAAGTTACAAATTAGCCTATTTCCTCAAATAACGAGGAAAACATATAGGATAACGACTAACATGAGGAAATCGAGGGGGATAAGTAAGTAAATCGAAACAGTGACAAGAAATGTGTGTTTGACAACATTACAGAAAGCCACTTCATGTGCAGCAATGGAGTCCCGCCAATACCGCTTAACCTCCATTACGACTAAAGCTTCGTCTGATAAATAACTGTTTTAGAAAGATTGCAGTTTAAACATACGATATGTGAATACAACATACTAATTTAGAGAGAAAGGGCGATACTATAAACAAACCTCTTGTTCGTGAATTGATTCGACCCGTTAAAAGTAACACAGAGAAGCTGAAATCTTGACGTCAAGCCGAGTTGCAGTAGCAGCAGACAGAATCAGTGATGTAGGGACATTTAGATTGACCCTGACGTCCAAGTCATTATTTAGATAACATTAAAGTATTTAGTATTAAATTCGTATGCTCATTAAAACTATACTTAAGGGCTAGTTTATTTTATTTTACGTATATTACCTAAAACTAATTGAATCAATAACCAGTACTTACTTTCAAAATTTTAATGAAAAACAACTAACAAGCAATAACAACAAAAATATTAAAAGTCAACAAAAACAAAGTTTTAAACTACATGTTTCCAGTTCTAGCAACAGTTACAAAAATAAAACACTCCATCGACTAATATATATTAGTTATGCAGCAAACCCCAAAAATATCCTTTTAAAATGTATTACGAAGCAAATTTTCTTTTAAAGTAATTAAAAAAAAATGCATTTTTGACTGAAAGTGTTGATTACATCCATTGATTGCTTATTTAAGGGCGATTAAATTCTTGAGTACTCCCAAGGCCGAAGGCCATCTATAGCCCTAAGCCGCGGCCTGATAGAATTGGAAACGTTGCAAGTAGTGTTGTCTAGCGCCAGACGTCCCATAAGATAACATGGAAGACAGTTGACACCACTCACTAGTGAATAATTAGCGAATTATTCATTTAAATTTAACATAGATTTATTAAAAGATTGAAAATAAAATATTTCAATTGAAAATCTATTTTTGTACATAGAAGGTGAAGTATATATTTTCATAACCAGCAACCAAGCTTTCGTATTCTTAAAAAATACAGAAATACCACTAGCTGCCTCCAAACAAACCAGCTGTTAAAACACTACTTGCGGTGTTGCCACTTTAAAGGCCGCGGCCTCCTGGAGTTAAAGGGGGCCGTGGTACTCCTCATGAGTCGTGAAGATTATCGGCATCCCAAAAATGGTCGACACTGAAATACACATTTCACCATAGGAACATGGGTCTGTGGTGCCTAGTTTTCGTCTGTCTGTATTTATGTGTGTTTTACAAGAACATTAATAACTCCTAAACGATTTAAGATACAGCGTTGAGATTATGCAAAAATGTTTATCTTATTAAGGCCTATCATTGTTTAAAATTATACTAAAAAATCGTTAACCGTTTTAAAATGGCAGCCATCAAAAATATTTTATGCAAAATTTCACAAAAACCGTTAACTTAACAAAAAAGTTGCACGAGACAAAAAAGTTAGTAAATTTTATGTACCGGTAGTTTCCAATAATGCCTTATTTGTTAAGTTAATGGATAAACAACAACAGAGCGAGAAATGTCTCCTTTTCCAAATGCATGACCACTTTTCTTCATTTAAACAATGCTAATACTCCTTTTACGTTGTTTTAGCATTGTTTAAATGGAGAAAAGTGGTCATGCATTTGGAAAAATAGACATTTCTCTGTTATTATTTATCTATTCTTAACAAATAAAGGTATCATCGAAAACTACATAAAATTTACTAACTTATTTGTCTCTTGCAATTTCTTTTGTTAAGTTAACGGGTTTCGTGAAATTTGGCATCAAATATTTTAAATTGCTGCCATTTTGAAACGGTTAATGATTTTGTAGTATAATTTTAGTCAAAGATAAGTCAAACATTTTCGCAAAAAAACCTCAACGGTGTGTCTCAAACCGTTTAAGAGCTATAAATGTTTTTTATAAAAAACACACAAATACAGAGAGTTGGAAAACTATAGGCACCACAGACCCATTATGGTGAAATGGGTTTGTCTTGACCTAAACAATAACGCTACATACGCTTTGGGTAAAACTAGTCCAAAGATTTCACCGGTTGTTTTCCCTTCGACTGACATATTTTCAGCAAAATTGGGTTGATCTAAGCACGTGGTGACTCGGTGACTCTAAAGGTATAAAGGGTGTTCTTCACGGTAGGTTACGTCTTAGCCAGCCGTAAGAAAGGAGCTAGCTTCTAGCTAAATTGATACTTATTCAATACAGCACATACTCTTCCCTGTCATAAAAGCGCGTTTCAACCTCAACATATTTAGAACATTTCAAAATTTGGATTAAAATTAATACAGCTTTGGCCATTCTCAGCGTCCAGTTGCCACAATCATCACTTCGCATATATGGGCCTATGTTTGTATGAAAAACAAATAATCCCTGCCGCAGCAAACCTGCCAACAAAGCAAATTTCTACTTGCCTGGCTAAATTTCCACTACAATCTCATTATTCTATTAATTAGGCATATGGCATATCAAAATGAAGCACACTGCAAGTTATAAAACACCCTAGAATATTGTACATCATCCTGTTAAACACGTACTGAACTACAATTCATTTTACAATATTCTCCTTGGAATTTTAAATTTAAATTTTTTTGAATTTTCTTCATTACCAAAAAACTGTACAAAAACACTTTGATATACTTAATTATTTGTTTTTTAAGCCCTTTAAAAAGGTCTAGAGAGAAATTGGGAAATTTTGTGTTTTGAGGGTAAAAAATGAGAAAAACCATTTTTTACCCTTAAAACCCCGTTCCCATGGTCCGATCATGCTGGTTCACGAACTCATTCAAGTTTATCCCGCCTTACACATTTAAAGCAAAGTTCATCAAAATCGGCAAAAAATTACTCAAGTTATCGCGTTCACGGACTTTAGTATAACATTAAATACTTAACTTTTTGTTAATAGATTCACATTTAAAAGGAATTAAAATTTTATTAAAAGTTAAGTATTTAATGTTATTTGAAGTTTTGAAAATGGACTTATGACTTTATGTCCGAAACCTGTAACTTCTACTAAAAATATAATATTCAGGGTGCTCAGTTGTACTTTTACTACTATAATTAAAAAATAGATATATAGGGTCCTATATATATATATGTGCAAAAATGATCCGGTTTTGATGAAATTTGGTACAAACGTGTAAACCTACGTTTATTTCAATGAGTTTGCAGCCCAGCATGATCGGACGGGTTTATGGGGGATTTAATAGGGTAAAATTAGTTTTTCCCATTTTTGATTCTAAAAACATTAAATTTCACAATTTCTGTCCAGACCATTTTGTAGAGCTTATTAAAAAATGAAATAATTTTGTATATTTAAGCGTTGTTGTATGTCGAACGGTCATGCAGATAATTAAAAAAACTTTAAATTTAAAATTCACATGTTATTCTTAATTCTTATGGAGAATAAATAAACTGTTGTAGTTTGCTTGTTTATGGATATATTGCATATGGATATATTGATCAACGGATATATTTTGATCAAATTTGGCAATTTTGTTTATTTCATACTAAGCTATCAACATTTCAATAAAAATCACCCCTCTATACCTTCCCTATAGGTACTCATGAAAATTATGTTGAAAAAATGTTATTTAAATCGGAAATAAATCTGACAATTTTCAGGGAATATTTGAGTAGAAATCCAGCCTGGTAAATGGAAATTCGCTTAGTCTGCAGGTTTCCTGAGGCGAGGGTATTAATATTGCAGCGGTTGCTAGTGTTTTGATAATGTAATAATGGTAGTCACATAGTTCTTCACATCGTTGAGTTCTATTAAGGGCTAAATTTAAAACATCTATAAATTAAGACATTTATATAATTTATTTTTTATCAGTGTTCTTCAGCAGATTCTTTTTTTAGTTTTAACATGTAGGCAGATTGATTTTTCCTGAAGTACCAAAATTGTTGTGCCACCAGCACGCACTGTAAAGACAAACCCCGAAATATATGCATGTTAAGCTAATCCAAATGTAGAAGTTCAAAGTACACTCCCTAAATCATTGTCTAAATGAATTTTTATCTCATTAACTTTGGAGACAAACTCTACAAAACAGGTGATTCTGATCCAGTTATTATTTTTAAGTTAACACATTTTGGAAACAAACAAACTTGTTTAGGCTTTGTACACATTTTTAAATGTTAATAATTTTTATAGTTTATTCATGTTTGACATAACTTTACAAGAAATTTATCCTGTAGTCTAATTTAAAATTTTGGAATCGAAAGCCTGAAACTAAATTTATATTATATACATTTTGCCCGAAAAGTTTAATTTTTTTAAGCGATATGACGGCTATTGCAGCAGCAGAAAAAAAGAAGAAAAGGGATGAAATGTATTACAGGTTCAATACAAATCGAGGAATGGGCTATTTAAAAAATCGCCTGAGGAAATACCAAGATGGTAAGACATTTTCAGGTCATATTTTGATTAGGCTATTGATATTTTGAATAATATTTTGATTCTTGAGGAAGAATGTAAACATGCATTCAAATAATCAACTCTAAATGCAACAAAATGTTTAAAAAAACATTTTGTTGCTTGTAAAACAAAGGGGTCTATTTACATAGGCTTATCATGCACTTACGCCCCTTCATATTGCAATCATCGATTTATAAGCTTAGTTTTGTTTATTTAATGAACAAAGTAGCTTATTTTGGTGTCTGTATTAAACCCATGAAAATAAGAAATTAACACAATAGAATAATAGTTTAAGTAAAAGTCTTTCATTAGTACAAATCAACAAGAAGTAAACAATAACAATAAACTCATGATAATATAAAACTAAAATGAGCCAACCATTACATCCCCCTCTTTAGGTTGAGTCTCTGGGAGGTTTTATAAGCTGTCTTGATCTGGTTGTTATGTTAGCTGAAGACATTCCAGAGGTGTTTGAAGGAACTGTTGAAAAGTTTGTTAAGCACATTCCGTTGCCTTCCTCGATTCGATGATCCTTCTGACCATTTGTTGATGGTTGATGGTTGTGGTAACTTTCCTTTAGAATATTTGGCATTGGTCGCAGGTGAAACCGGTTTCTTCAAACTATATGGTTCCTTTTGTCTGTCAGTACTTTATAAGATCCTGGTGAGTTTAGCTTTTCTACCACTTTTCTTTCATGTTTCAGATCAGATATCCAAACTTTGGTTCCTGGGTTTACATCTGATAAGGGTCGAGCACCATGTCGATCATAATTTTGTTTGTAGTTTTGTCTATAATGATTCTCCTTCTCTCGGAGTTTCGGATATGACTGAAGTCCGGTTTTTTCTCCATATGACATGGTAAAAGTCTTCATCTATGGTATCATACTCAGTTCGTTGCAAAAACAGTTCAATTTAAAACATTTTGCAATTTAAAATTAAACAATAGCTTGGCTCCGATAATGTTTTACTACTCTTGAAGACTCTTTGAAATATTTCCTAATCTTCAGGATTATTAAACTTAAATAAACGACACTTAAGAGGCACTAAAGAGATAGGAAGCGTTCATTATCTATATTAAAACGTCCAAATACATTTTGGTTAAGAATGAATTAGTTTAAATAAAATCATACGGTTATATCAAGTGAAGTAGGATTAAAGAATCAGACATTTACGAAAGAGGTGAAATACTTGTTTTGAAGATATAGGAATAAAATACCGTTCTATGCCAACCTACTTTGCACAAATCAAATCAAATCAAATCATGTTTATTAGCACATAAACGTACAGAGGTTTTAGATAAATGCACAGGTGCTTCGTCATTCTTCTTATAGTCTAATATTCTAATATTATATAATGTCCTTTTTTTACAATGTATTTATTAATAATAAATAAAATAGTTTTTAACATTTGAGGAACTCTTTAAATAGACTGGTCAAAAGGTTTAATAAAAAAGATAACGTCAAGCTTAAAACTAAATAACAAGATTTATAGAATTTAATTATAAATAAAACATAAAAAATGTACAAAACATGTAATTTTAGTCAATAACGAGGTCTTCATTAAAATTTCACAACAAAAACGATATATATAAAATATGTAACATTTAAAAATCAACAAGATTAACATGGAGAAGGAACTTTTTACCCTATAAAATATTATGGAAGTAACAGGACCTGCTTATAACATTTAAGAGTCATTTAGAAAATCGTCAACTTTATAATAGGCCTTTCTGATCAAAATACTCTTAATGTTATCTGCAAATTGTGCTGGACTCATTGCTGTGTTTTTTAAGTGATTTGGAAGTTTATTGAACAATTTAATTCCCATGTAATGAATACTTCTTTCTAAAGACGTTGTAGAATGATGAGGGTATATAAGCAAATTCTGGTGTCTAGTTTTGTAATTGTGGCTATTTTTTTCTATAGAGTACCAATTTAAATTATTTTTTACATGACACAGAACTTCAAAAATGTAGATACATGGTACTGTAAGTATTTTTAAACTTTTAAATACTTCTTTACATGAGCTTCCAGGCTGTTTGAGGGTCATGGCTCTTAGGCATTTCTTTTGTACTTTCAATACATTTTTTATTAAATTTGTTGCGCCCCATAATGTTATTCCATATTTCACTAGCGGGTAAAAATAGCCATAGTACAAAATAAGTTTTGTTTCCATGCTGATACAGTGTGTAAGGCAACTCATATTAAAACAAATGCTATTTAATCTCTTACATAATGGTACAATATGTTCATGCCACTTCAGATTTTCATCACATATTACCCCTAATAATTTCACAGACTTCTGATTCTTCAAATCATCATTGCCAACTGTAACCTTTATTTCACCCTCTCTATATTGCATACTTCTGAAGTGAATTATATTTGTCTTGTCTGCATTCAGCAACAGTCCATTTATTTTAAACCAATTTTCTAATTCTTTTATTATTGTCTCTGCTGTAAATTTAATTTTTTCTGTGCTATTATCTCTAATTAATGCTGTAGTATCATCTGCAAACATTACTATATCTGTCTTTATATTCATTGGAAGATCATTAACATATATTACAAACAAAGCTGGGCCTAAAATTGATCCTTGAGGGACTCCTGAATTTACAGTACAATATTTTGATTCATACGTCATGTTATCTATACTAAATGATGTTTTTTGTATTCTTTTAGTTAAATATGATCTAAACCATTTCAGACTGTACCCTCTGATTCCATGTATCTCTAGCTTTTTTTAACAGAACATCATGGTCTACACAATCAAAAGCCTTTGACAGGTCACAACAAATTGCTGCAGTGGTCTGTGACCTGTCCCATGCCCTGTAAATATTGTCAGTTAGAGAGATGAGTGCTGAGTTGGTGGAATGAGATTTTCTAAAACCATGTTGACTTTTGGTTATTAATTTATTTTTCTCTAGATATTCCTGTAATTGAACATTTACAGCTTTCTCAAATATTTTTGAAAAGACAGGTAACAATGAGACTGGACGATAGTTTTCAATCAAGTTTTTATCCCCTTTCTTATAAATTGGCCTAACAATTGATATTTTTAGTTTTGATGGAAATTCACCTGTAAACAGTGACTGATTAATTAATGTGCAGATTGGCATAGCTATATAATCTTTACACTCTTTGATTAAGGTGACAGGAATCTCGTCCCAACCAGTAGATTTTTTATTTGGTAGTGATTGTATAATCTTTAAAATTTCATGAACATTTACTTCTCTGAATTCAAAAAACAAACTTTCTGGGTTTATCCCTGTTTTGCAACTGTCAACTGCTTTTTCTGGTGAACTTTTAATATTCAGTTTTTTCCTAATGTTGAGATAATGATCATTAAAATAATCTGGAATAACTTTGGGGTCTTTTATTATGGATCCGTCAATTAGTACTTCTGTCAAAACGCTCTTTTTCCTTGTATTCATTCCTAACTCATTCTTAATTACTTTCCAAGATGCTTGACTTTTACACTTACAAGAGTATTATATTACTTCATCTATGGTAAAAGTAGGCAAATTGACCTGTAGTCTGCGTCCGTAACTGTTGGCAAGTTGAGAGTTCCTGTAAGACAACAAAGCTAAATATGGATCTCCTTTGTTCTTCTTTAGAGCAGCTTTTGCAATTTTGACAGCTGCTTTTTCTGAGCCATTGCTCTGATGAAACTGAGGACTGCTTGTTTTGCATAAAAAGTTGTATTCTTAGGCAAACTTTCTGAATTCAGCACTAGTGATGCCAGTGTTCCACTGTCTGAGTATAAGACTTCAGGAATACCGTGGTGAGAGAACGTTGACTTGCATTTCTCAATTAGGCCTACTTCAGAGGCAGTGAGCGATTGTATGGTTGCAATCTCAAAATACATTGAGAACTGATCTGTTATAACAATGAACCATTTACCATCGAGCTTAAACAAATCCATTACTGCCTTTTCCCATGGACGTGTTGGCAACTCGGAAGGAATGAGCGGTTCATTTAGATTTTCCCTGTGTTTGACGCATGTTAGGCATGAAGTTACCATCATATTTATATTTGATGTCCTTCCTGGCCACCATAAACTGAATCTAGCCTTTTCTCAACATTTGGTGAATGAAATGAATGAGATGAATGAGATGAATGAGATGAATGAGAGGAATGAGAGGAATGAGATGAATGAGATGAATGAGATGAATAAGATGAATGAGATGAATAAACCCATGAAAATAAGAATTAATCACAATAGAATAGTTTAAGTAAGTCTTTCAATACTACAAATCAATAAGAAGTAAACAATAACAATAAAACATGATAATATAAAACTAGAATGACAATAGTCAGTAGAGCCAACCAAACAGTGTCTGACTAACATGCAATTCCAATGCAGCTGTGGAACTGTTCACAAACGCCATCGATAATGCAGAGCCTGGCTTCGAAACTCCACTTATCATAGCACGCAGTAAAGCATACAGCAAACAAGTAGATCACAACGCAGCTCGAATTGATGCAATCAACGTTCTTGAAAACAATCCCGACGAAATCAGATGCCTCGAAAATGATGCTTACACACTTTACGAAAAAAATGATTTTGAAGATTCCCTGGTACAGAACTACTGTGGACTTCGAAGGCGTAAAAAACCTGATAACTTCTACAGAGGAATACTTGTGGTAAGGTAGTTTTTAAACTGATTATATTTGTTCACTTTGTAAGGGTTATTTTTCCCTTATAGAAAGAAAGAAGTTCCCTTTTGTTTATAAGAAGTTGTTTATATATTTATTTTTGTAAAGAAGTTAGTTATTATTTTGTGAAAGAATAATCGGTTTAGGCTATTTTGTTTTCTTAGAGCCCAATCAATACATCAATACAACTAGACGACTACCAGCACTAATCAAACAGTTTTTTTAATATTTTTATTTTATTGGTTTGCAGCAAAAACATAAAAAAAACACAAAACTCAATCAGTATTTTAACCTCCATAATTGCTAAAACTTATTCACAGTTAATCATGTTGCCAGTTGGAGAGCCAGACGTTTTGCCCTTATAATGCAGTTTAATCTTTAGTAGCTAGGCTGAGAGCTGCTCAGATGCTGTTGAAAAAGAAAATCTTCATGGATACTCATATGACATTTTGCATCATCTGACTTTCAGGGAAAAGAAACCATTGAAGACTGCATTGGTCGCAATGCAGGACCGTTCTTGGACAACGACCGTTTGGGTCAAGTCATTGTGGACATGCACTTGCAAAGGGGCGGAACACATTTAGATGATGACAAAGATGAACTAGCTGTTGCCCAAAGTAAAGTAAGACCATGGATTACATACTCTACTAAATATATTGGTTGGTATTTGTAATGTCTTGGTTGGTTGATAGTTTTCTAGTAGTAAACTGACATGTGCTAGAGCTAGTAACATAGATTAAGTTCTATACTATGGAAACAGTAACCATCAACAGTAAATTTACTGGTCTCCTTCTCACCAAACATCACATTTCTTTAGTGTAAGTTATAGGCAGCTTGCACTATTTATCTACTTTATAGAAACTTCTTATAGACTGCCAAGTGCCAACATAGTAAAGTATTTTGTTAGCGTGTCCCAAATTGCTGACAGTATAGTGGGTGCATGGTCAATGATAAAAAATTAATATATTTATAAAACTAAGGAGTTATGTCTCTCATTTACAATATTTTGACGTTAATGCACAATAAAAATCCATGCAATAGGCTATTTGGCTAAGGAACGTTTTTAGAATAAAATAAAAAGTTGTTTTTATGATATCGAGTTTATAAAGTTAGTGCAACTATTTCTACATGATGTTTTTTGCCTCGCTGGGTCATCAAATAAATTAATTGGTCCTGGATCTGGGTCCTACACTATGCCACATACAGCAATATCTATTCCCTGTTGTAAATTTTCTAAACGTGTATTTTGGGAAACAACATTTTTCTTTTCCCCATGTTGTTCATACTTTCCTTAACACTTCAAACTCCAGATTATTCAGGAACTTTATTTTCTTAATGATTAATTTTCTTGTTTCGCCTGACCTTATAAACATTAAAAAATTTAAATTATTGAACTCCTTATGAGTTGCACAGACCTGACTGAGACAGGATTCATATCCTCAGTTAATTCTGCTGTTTCCTTCCTGAAGGGACAAAGCCTTAGATCTTTGGCCACTGATCAGGACTAGGTCTGACACACTAACAGGGATCAACCCTAGGTTACAGTACATGTCACGAATAGACAGCCGTTTCATACTTATTGTTAAGTTACTTAAAAATAAAAAAGAGTTGAAAGTGGAACTTTGGTTATGGATCACTGCACGATATATTGGCTTTTGGAGCTCAAACCTACTTTGTAAAAGCTTTAAAACCAACGCTTCTGGAATAATTTGACTAAATATTTTTTAGGAAATTATCATGACTTATCTTCATGTATCATTGCAGTACGAGAAGGAGCATACAGACAAGATGTTTGCCCAGAAGTACCTCGGGCGGTTAGCTGCTGACAAGCAGTTCTTGTTGGAAATGTTGAAGTCACCTCAACTGAAGGCTGGGAACAAACAGCACAATCGACAGTTGCAAAATATTCTAATGGATACAGTCAATGTCATCAATAGTCAGCAGGTTTGTACAGTTTGTTACCATTGGATATATACTTATAATAGTCATAATCAAGTGTGAATAACTATGATAATGATATAATTTTAATCAATGTACATCAATGGTAACTAAACACTTCCCAAATCTTAATTTTCAATACTTACAAATTTTAAGCCTCTGGGTCGTGTTTTTTACAAATAAAAAAGGTTAAATAACTATTGTAGGACTACTTTCAATGATCCAATTTTTTTCTCTAGCACCCAATGCTTTGAACCTAAAAGGTTCATTTTCAGGTACGTTCAGGTAAATAAGAAGATGAAGACCTCTGAAGACGCCATACAAGCTGGCGAAATACATAGGATAACACAAACATATTACCCTCTAAAGAACAACAGTCTAAACAAAGGCAACAGCAACTAAGGTATTCTAATTACTGTAGGTTTGCTGCAGTGGGTGTGTTAAAATTCCTGATAATAATTAAGAATGATCAAATTGTTTTTATAGGACACATTAATGACGCAGCGTCCTATGTACATGCTGGATTATCACAAACCGACATTTTCCACAAAATACAATCAACAAAAGAAGGAAGATGTTGAGAAAAGTAAATGCGGAGTGATGAAAACCATGAATAAACTGTTTGATGAAGGGAACTCTTTACAGCGAGAGAGAAAGCTCGCAGATTGTATGAATGTATGTGATCGTCTCAGAAGGTAACACTTCCCTAGTAGCACAAAAATGTTTTGAAAATATGTTTAAAATATTTTGGAATATTCCGAACAACTTTTTTGTTTAAATATTTTAGAAATAATTTGAAAATATTTCAAACCAATGTTATAAATATTTTTGGATAATGTTTAGAAAACATTTAAAAAAATTAATCAAACAAATATTTTTACTAAAATATTTTAATAATACTACTAATAAAATATTTTTACTCAAACATTTTAAAAGCCTTTATAAAATATTACCAGAACAATATGTTTACAAAAAAAGTTAAAAATATGTAGTAAATATTACAAAATCTATATATTTTTTACACCTTTTAAATTCCAACACCTGTTGATTTGGGACTTAGGGGAGAAATTTTATTTAAGAATTCGGGTCCGATATAATTTGGCTTTTTATATAACAGTTTTAATCAGTGACTTTGCAACCTTATTTTTTACTTTTTCTTGTCCTTTATTGTAATGGTGAAGCAACCGGATATGTAAACATTTGTTTCATACATATTAAGACTAAATTTAAATCCATTGTTCATTGTTATTATTCCGGGATTGGCGGGATTAGTAGGATATCCTCCCATAATAGCTACTTCCCTATAGGGAAATTCGCTAAAATCTAATGCAATTCAAGTTTTTAAACCTGGGTTAAGAAAAAATTCTTGCTTGTGGTTTTTGGATAAATATACACATTAGATAGCTTAGGTACATTGGATATTTTCAAATTGCAAAATATAACCACGCGTTCGATTCAGTTTGTAAATTTGCTGTGCATAAGCCAAACTGACAAGCCAAATGGCCGGTATACAGGCCCTCAGATTTAGGCTAAATAGCATTCTGGGCTGAAAACAGCTTTAACACAACCCTCCTCCCTCTACCATAGAATATGGAACCTTCCCCAGGAAAAATTTTGAAACTTAAGTAACGCCTCTTTCACACGAAGCGGCGCGCGCCGTACGGCGTCCGCCGCGCGGCGCTGCGCCGGACAAGCGTGTGTCTTCACACTAGTACGGTTTCGTGCGGCGCGCGCCGTACGGCACTCTTAAATATTTTTAATTTTCTGTTCAGTTGTGGCTTTTAAATGAATACTCCACTTAAAAGTTGAAATAAAATGAATGGGCTAATTTTAAATTTAATAAACTAGTGCACCTGTTGCTCGAATTTGAGCAATTGCAAAATATTAAAGGAGTTTTTTTTACGAATAATTGTCACAATTTCCGTTGACGTGTGAGAGTAAAGTCAAAGATAATGTAACTAATCACTCCACTCCAGTTATCGAAACTGGAAACGAACTCACTCTGAAAACGAACGCTCACTCCACTCCATCTATCGAAACTGAAAACGAAAACTCTTGTGTGTATCATGTGTGTACTATGAACAGCTGTAATTAATACAAATTATTTGTCTGTTTAACCTCAGAGTAATTTAACTAAACAAAATCTTGTCTTCATAAGATATACATTGGGATTTTGATGGCCTGAGGGGCAAAGCCCGAGGACTTTTACTACAGGAATTGGTGAAAGGGGGCATCTACACAAACAATACTTAATTTTGACACATCGTTTGTAAAAATCCGTCCATTATTAACGGAGGAGTAGTATTTTGTAGAAATCGCCTTCACGTATTATATAAATGTTTCATTGCGTATAAATTACTAAATTATTAATTTAATACTAAATATTCTCCTCTAGTTATTAAAAGAAAAATTTTGTTTTGATACTTTAAATTGGCCGATTTGCATGGGATGAACATAAAAATATATGTTTTGTAATAACTTAATATATTTTGTTAATAAATATATTATTTTCCGATACAACGATATATAATTTCTTAATTAACTGTTGCACCCTCTTGGTCAGGTAGTTTGCCTAAATTGAGACAGCGTAGGGGTTGGGCCGTGCGGCGCGCGCCGCACCGTGTGAAAGCTCCCATAAGAACCAATGCACCTTTACCGAATTGTGCGGCGTGGACGCCGCGCGGCGCTATCGTCCGGCTCAAGGTGCATCCGGCGGTAACTCGCGCGCCGGACATAGTGTGAAAGGACTCATATACTCCCATAGCCCTACGCGCGCCGCGTCGTGTGAAAGAGGCGTAAAGCTGCAAGCGATCAGTAACGCTATATGGAGGTTAACATACTGATTGTAATTTGAATGTGTTAAGGCTATGTTGCTCCATGAATCTGAGAAAGAGGAGGTTCCTATCTACTTGATCCATTGGTTATTTCCACATGGTAGACCTATTGTTACTTTTACTTTATTGAGATTTGCCCACAGGTTTATCGAGTGTCAGCCAAACAACTTGCTCCCCAAGTCTCAGAGAGAAGAAGTTCTTAATCGTCTGTACTCCCTGATTGGTCTGGCCTATATGGACACAAAGACACTGGTTCCTGATTGGTCTTTTGATGACAACGACCTCCGAATAGAGTTTGTTTTGAACTCCAAGATCAACAATCCCCGATTTGTTGACAGAGTCAGAGAAACATACTTTCCAAAGATTTGGAATGTCAAGTGTGTAGATGTGTTGAAAAAGTCAATTTTTTCAATGCTGGGTTTTTTTATCGCTTTTAGGCTAGTTTTAAATATTATTAAAAAGGTTTAAACACAAATGAAATATTATATGCACATAGTTTATCAATTGTGGAAAGATCAATAAAATTAGATGACTATCAAGAGGTGTGAGTGATACCATCAACGGTAGATACCATCAATATCTCAACTAATTCTGATTACATAGCCTTAATTAAATCTATTTCAATATTGTTTAAATTACAAAAAAAATCCCAACTCAAAAAATGAATGTTATTTAGAAAAACTTTAAAAAGTGTGTACAAAAACAAAAAAGTGTGTGTGTGTGTTTAAAAGTGTGTATGTAACAAATAAAGAAGTTTTGAATTTGAATTTTGATTACCTATATTAAAGTTGCTTGCCTTCATATCACTGAAGGTTCTAGTTTAATTTCCATCGGGATTGATTTTGAACCAGACATATAATTGGACTATTAATTGATGGTAAAAAAATTACGTTACACAGAAAAAATACCAGTGTTTGTGCCATTCTCTAAAACAAATAGTTAAATAGAACCAATGGCACTGAAAAACACAAGAACAATTTTTAAAAAAAACTCGCTAATGTCTGGAAAGAAGAGCCAAATGCAGTATTAGGTGGTAAAATTGTTATCAAACTTTTTTTCAATAATTATCAAAACTAAAAAGATAAATGTGTACTTTCAACAATCAAGTTTGACTAGAACTCCTTACATTATGTTCATTTCATAATTTTTCTTTGTGAAATGTTTAAAGCCCTTAACATATATTTTGTAGAGAGATGAAGAGGGATTTAAGAGCTCGTCTGGAAGTTTCAATACACAAGATGGAAAGGATGTATCTGTACCATGAACTGTCAAGATGTTTGTTTGAAGAGTTGAAGCAAGAAAAAGCCTACAAGATGGCATCATCTGCACTTAAATTGGCCAAGGTGATTGTTTGTTTAGTCAATCTGGAATCAGAAAGTAATATTTATTGGATCAGATCATCTGAATGGAGAAAGGTCTATCCTAGTAGGAAAAACACAAACAAATCCACATTCTACACAATCTAGAATATTCCTATTTCACTCTCATAATTTTCAATACAGCAAAAGTTTTTTCCTAGTTAAAAAATGAAAGCTTTACTATGATCCCATGTTCATAATGTCATTTCAAATCCACAATTTGATTTGTCAAAATATTGCAGGAGACAAAGAGCGGATTGTGGCAGTTCAATGCTGGGTTTCTGACCTCTCTCTCTGTGCTCATGGAAGGAGACACCGATGAAGCCAAAACTAGCTTCACCGACGTTATGATCAATGCTCGGAGAATGGAGCGAGACGATTGTGCATACTTTGTTCAAAAGGTAGAACATGCTTTAAACCTTTTTGGTTGAATTCTCTTAGCATCCCACCGAACTAAAACGTGATGATGCATAAGTTTTGTACACACGATCTGTGATTAAAACAACATTGATTGGAGAAAATTGATAAATATTAGTCCATTTAAAATACATTTTCTAACATTAGAACGCAAGTATGACACATTTAAAAAATCATAACAAAAATAAAATAGCTCGCATTATACCTAGCCCATATCAAACTTACTCAATACATCCACTGCGCTTGATATTATATCTTTCGTATTGCTCAGTGCAGGATACAACACATGGAATTCAACAAATAAGCTAACAAGTTTGAGCAAGTTGGCATGGACATGTAGTTCAACCAACCATGAATATTGATTTGTTACGTCCAGCTGAAAGGAACAAGGTTTTGCAGATGAGTGTTTTGGGACAGTTTGTAAAGATACATGAGGATAGAGAGCACAAGCATATAGAATGGTATTAGTACTTTAGTTATAGAGAATGGTACTGAAATTAAAATGTATTTGGAATACTTTCATGTTAGCAAAACTGGTGCAAATATTTAAAACTTAGTGTATTTTTTATGTTGGTAAAATTATTGAATAGTATATAGTTTAAGATTGGAGGATGGCTAACGGGATTTGACCTTCACTTTGAGCCTGCAAAGCTCATCACACTCATCCTAACACCTTACTACCTGCTCTACTTCAACCAAAATGTCCACACTCATCCAGCCTACCCACAGAATATTTCTCAACACTTCCCTTTACAACCTAAATATTGTCACACACAGTTTTACTTTGTCGAACTGAAATAGTTGGTTGTACTTAAATATATTTACTAGGAAATCCTCAACTGGAAATAGGAAATGATCAACTGATGTTTTACAGGTGATAAAAATAGCTACGGAACCGAACCGATTGAATTACGATTCGCCAAATATTACGCAACAGAGAGAAAAAGAGATTATGGACATCATGAGCACTCCCGAACTACGAGCGGAAACTTACCGGATGCTACAAAGAATAAAGACAGCTCCAACCCACGCTAGGTTAGATTAAACAAACTCTTTTGTAGATTTTTCATCATTACGCAAACCTATGTAGCCACTCAAACCTCCGTAGGTTTTTGACCTCATAAAAAGTAACCACCTTTCTTCGTCTTTCAACCTTTCTGTCTCTGCTCTTAGCTTTCCTATGTCCTTCGCACCTGGTCCTGCCATTTAACCGAGGTTGTCCTGTGGTCCCTGAGGAAGATTTTCAACTCCATTTTTAGCAATCAACCTTCTTCTCTTCTCTTTACATGACCAGCCCATCTCAGTCTCCTACTTTTTATTTGGGCTATTATATCTGGGTCTGTACAGATTTACCTTAGTTCTTGTTTTGTCCTGATTCTCCACACACCATTTTCATTAATGGGACTGTAGATGGTTCTTAGCATTTCATTTTCATATATTTTATTTTTTATCATGGAGCAGCTAAAGACACTACTTTAAAGGTATAAATAATAAAATAATTCTCTACGGTCTAAGTTGAGTGTGTTTTAGTGTATCTATTTATTTCTCGTCCAACTTTAAACTTGAAATTTTGAGCTTCTACAACCAAGGAGACCAACCAATTAATTAACTGTTGCTTACACTCTGGTATTATCACCACCATCATTGACTGCAAATTGTAAATAAATTTCACAATGAGAAAGAACTATTCAACATTTAATTGACATCAAATGTTAACCAGATGCCAAATATGAAACAAATCAAAATATGACTTAATCCAGCAGGATGAATAAGCTAAACTGGGCCCAGCTGTCCTTGATCAGCTTTTAATAGATGATTCTGTCTAAAGAACCAGTTTAGTTAGTAACAAAGCTGTCATCTCAATCATCAACTCAGCTTTTGCGTCCTCTTGTGTCAGCTTCGCAAATATTGAATCTACCACAGTATGCAAAGCCATTGGTATTATCACACACTTAATATTCAAGGAAGAAAGAATGGACTCAAAACAACTCACTTAGCAAAAGAGTTTCATGAAAATTTTGTGTGCTATCAATTCCACAGTGAGTTTACCCAATCCTTCTTCCTAAATATTACAAGTACAGTATTCTCAAGTCATATGATTTTTCCTTCAAAATACTACACTAAATCACCTCTTATTATGAATCTTTTCTGGCTGAACTTATTATCGCACGTATCTGCATTGGTAGAGCATTGATTACCCTAAGCCCCGTCAACGGACGTCCGTTAATCGAAGGAAGAAAGAAGAAAGAAAGATCAAATCACAAATTCAGCAAGCGACTGCTTCTTAAATGTATGGTGAATGGGCAAGCAAATAATGACTAAAGTTACATGCGTTCAAATCTACAATACAAATGGTAACTATTACTGACTAACACTGCTGCTGTACTTTTGTCACTTGCCAAGACATTTACTGATTTCAATATTCACAAACTTTCAGACTGAAACTACAAACTGCGTTGACAACTAAGACACTAGGCATGGGCAGTTCACGCAGGTCGATGAAAATCGCAGCCCGAGCAAAACGCAGAACTCTACACGAGGTAAGGACCAGCGAGCGTAAATCTTCCGTAAACTGGCACAAGTCAATTTCGCTTGATCTCTCAAAAATTGAATGATTTTCTTTATGTGCTAAAACCTTCACTTTACATAAAGTAAATTAAAGATCTGTCTAGTAATATTTTGGTGCTCTTAATTACTTTGTAGAATTTTTGTACATAGGACTATCTAGAATTTCTGCAACTATCCTCTCCATAGAGTTTTTTTACATTTTAAAATGTTACTAATAAAAAGGTTAAATACCTTTTCACGTCATCAATCCTAGTCGTCTTTAAAATCAAAATTACTATAGTTTTGAGGCATGCTGCCCCATTGTCATATCTTCTGTCTTCATTAAATTTAAGATATTCAAGGGTTAGCCTAAAAAGGTAATTTATCAGTAATCTATATTAATACAGGAGGTAAAAACATGGATAAATTTGAAATGTTCAGGAAAAATTGCAAACATGTACTGTTGCAGTTTAATTTTGAACACTTTTGGTAATCTGTTTTACTAACTGACTATGAATGGGAATGAGAGGGATGGAACATGATGAGTTTTTTTTGGGGTGCTGAACACGAGTTGTCCAACAAAATTTATTTCGGCAAATATGAAAAAATTAAAAAAATGTCCAAGCAAACTAAAAAAAAATATATAAAAAAACACAGGAATCGTTAAAAAAATTTCAAGAAAACATTATATGGCTTTATTTTTTAGTGTTTGGTGTGCAGAGTGACATACTAAAAATTGGCCAAAATCAATGCACGGGAAACCCCTACGCGTCCCATATAGAAATGAAGTTCTAACCACCCAATAAATATCGGTGGTGGTCTCATGTCAATTTTTCGTAAAATTTACTTAACAAATGCACGTGGTATTTTTTTGTTATTTGTCCAATGTTGGGAAAAGCCACAATTTTTTGTGATTTTATGGGTTTCCCTTGCACTGATTTTGGCCAATTTTTAGTATGTCACTCTGCTCACAAAAGACTACAAAATTAAGCCATAAAAAATATAACAGGCTAGAGAGATAAGGAGGACACACACACTGACTGATGGAAGTGATAAGAGTTTGGACTTGATTTCCTTTAGTTTAATGAGCTGCAGACAGGCCATGTCAGGCTTTTGCAGCATGGTGAAAAATGATATGTAAAAATGTGTGTTTCAATTTGTTTCAAATAAATAAATAAATAAAAATAAATAAAACGTTTTCTTGCAATTTTTTTAACGATCGCTGCATCCTGTGTCTGTTTTTTTTTTAGTTTGCTTTGACTAAAAAGATTTTTTACATTTAATTTTATTTTCCCATATTTGTCGGAATAAGTTTTGTTGGACAACTTCAGATTTGTGTTCAGCACCCCCAAAAAAATAAAGTAGGCCTAAGCCTTTAAAAACAATTACCTATAAACTTTCCACTTCGACCCCTTTTTAACCCCCATTTGACTGGACTAGATTGAAATCCAAGGCCAAGTGATTTTACATAAAAAGGTTGATTGGTTAATTAAGAATTAGGATTACTACTATGATGCAGTTCTAGTTTTTTCCAATACACTTAAGACGGGTATTTTTCTATGCTTGGTACTTTCATAAAACTCTCATTTTATTTTAAATTGACGATCATTGAATTTTCCTAACATTCCCCACATCGATGTCGTTTTAGTTTATCTGAAACTCAAATTAATTGCTTAGAGACTATTTAAAAGTTTTTTTGTAAACAAAATTACAAACAAAATTTTAGTTAAAAAACATGTATAATCATTTCACATTATCTACAACAGGTTGTCCACTATGATTACAAAAAGTACAGGTATATACAGATGTGCGAGCACAGGCGTGTTCAGACGTGTTAGAGCAGGCTGTTCTTGTAGATGTTGACGAGCGAGCGAGCTGCCAGCAGAATCATCTCTCTACGAGAAACGCCTGTCATGGCCTGGTGCCACTCTGATGGATGTACCTGCAAAATCAACAGTTTTTCCCGTTAACAGTTCTGTTTTATAGTCTACAGCAGGTATTTTGCTTCTGGTAAAACAAATCAGGATAATACCAGGAGTCCACAAATTAGTACTTGGTATTGAAACACACAAGACCGCTAAACTCATTACAAACTGAAAAATTAAATACCCGCCGCAGCAAACCTGCAGACTAAGCAAATTTCCATTTGCCTGAATTGATATACAATTAAATCTATTTAAATAACATTAGATTAAACAAGTACAGTAGACTCCCTCTTATCCTTACTCCTTGGGACCGAGGCCAGTCGGGATAACAGTTTTTCCGGTTAAACTAACGTCCCCCGAAAAACTCGTTAAAACGGACTAGGGGTGTGCGATGCATCGAAAATGGATCGAAATTTCGATTCGATTCGATTCGATGCATCGAATCGCGATTCGATTCAGTGGTGGTCAAAAAACGATTCGATTCATGAGGGAGTCAGTATCCATATACGAAAAACGCCTGCAGAAAGTCAATGCAATACCCGCAATACAGGAGCGCGTTGCTGTTGCGTTTCCTTTACGAAGGCGTTCTTATTTAATACATTCTTTGCATTAAATATAACTTTAATTGTTTTATATTTTTTTGTTTTGACATTGCAAATGATGAGATGTTTTGTTTTTTGTCTTGATGTAAGCAGTGTGAAAAATATTTTACTACTGTAAACCTAGCCAAAACAAGATAGGTTACTCCAAAATCATTTTAAAAATAAGTCTGAAAAATTGTTACTTAATACTTAACTAGTAAGATTAATGTTATAGACTGATACATTTGGTATTTTTGTTAGGGGTCTGCCGATCCCCAAATGTTCGGGCAAAAGAAAAAAGAACAATTTATTTCCAATGAAACACTCTTATATTATTATATCTATTATTACAGAGGAATTAAAATGTTCAAATGAGAATTACAGATTAAGTTGGCTCACGACCTAAAGACACAAAACAGAGCAATTGCCGCACTGCCACTAGCCAGAGCCAGTCTAGTCGTCTACTGACAAGAGTGACAAGACAAAAGCCGTGAGCAACACTAACAGTGCAAAGAAAACAAAGTCAAAAGAATAGAAAGACTATTTATCCAGACATACTAGTTTAATCATTTATTGTTTATTCCATACCTAATAAAAATATATATTTTAGTATTTTACATAATAAATTATAAACAAAAGAAATATCTGATAATAGTGAACAGATCTGTATCTTGGTTAGATGGGATTAAAAAAATATATTTCTAAGATCCAATACAATATTTACAACTCACAAATTACAATGAATTAATTTCTTTGAAAATGATCTGTAACAGTTTTGTGTTTTTGAATAAAGAAATATATTTTTTTGTCTTTACTTCCTTGTTTCATCACTTGAATTTTGTCAGCAATTGAAGCAACTGGGTAGCAACCGGGTTGTGTAAGAGGGGAGGGGGAGGGTCTATGACCTTGAATGCACACATCGTTGCCCGGGCCTGGCTGTTGAGAGTGATTCATTGTTTTTGTTGACATACTACTACCCTTCCTTCAGAGAAAAAGACCCTGCTGTTCCAAAAACATTTTGGATAGTTTAAAAACATTGACCTGTTGTCCAAGGGCACTAGAAGTTAGCATTTAACTTTCTTATCTCTTAATTTAATATTATTTTAATCTTCTATATATTATTTATGAGTTACTTTTCGGGTACCTAATTAATTGTGATATTGTTTGGCTTTATTTTATGGATTTTTAATTCTTTTCATTCATTAGCTATCAAAATCAGTTGTTTTAGGATTTTAATCTCGTGCAGTAGGTCTATACTACTGTATGACATGATATGCATTTTTTACAGTCCTTAATAATTATACCATAAACAATGTTTGTGTGTTATTTACTGTTTTTGAGTTTTATAGTAAATTAGTTTACACAATATCTTTTCTTCAATGAGTTCTCCACTTGTCATGTTGCTTAGCCTATTACTATTTTAGGCCCTATAAAAATAATGCCTATGTAAAGCTGTAGGCCTACTCATGCCAATAATAAATAATTCTTTATTTATGATGATGTAACAAATAATGTAAGTGTGAGGTTATTATACTAAGGAAGTTAGGAGGTAGGGAATGAATGATACATATTGCATGGTGGAAACATATTATTTTTATTTTCTTCTTGCTTGCAGTCCTGAAGCCGGTCCACAGGCCCTAAACTTGTGATATGTTAATTTATTTCTCAATGGTCTTTTTATATTAAGTTCCATTCAAATTTGTTGTAATTTAGCTACCGGTACCTATTTAGTTATTTAAACAGTTATTAAAATGAGAATGAATGTCTTGATAAAAAAAATTATTTTCTTCTTTCTTGCAGTTGAGCCAATTCCAAGTAAAAATTATGAAATAGGGAAGTAAAGCAGCTCACTGGTATTTCCAGCAATACAGGTTATTCTAATCCCTATGATTGAAAATAAATATTTTTTCACCTAAAATTCATATGTTAAGTATGAATAAGCCTAATACCACATCAACAAAAATTTGTATTACACAAATGTGGTAAATTTTAATTATTGTTAATCCACTCAATTGACAATTATGAATAGAAAAATACCGTATTGCTTCGAATCGAGTTGCATCGAATCGAATCGAAAATCTTTTCAATCGAATCGTTGCTTCGAATCGAAAATTTTTTGCTGCTTCGCACACCCCTAAAACGGACCGTTAAAATGAATACTGTATACAGAATTTGACTTAAATTTAGGAGAGCATTGTATTTAGATACGTGATCACTAGTCTCAAATCTTTCCACGAGAACAGTCGTTTCAGTACTGCCCACCTCCTGACGATCTAGTCCGCTTAAACCATGTGCTGATAAAAATTGTCCGGTTAAAAGGTGTCCGGATAAGAGGGAGTCTACTGTACCTAAGTTTGCTGTTGGGAGTGCTGTTGATAAAGTGTTTTTTTTTTTTTTTTTTGTAAAATATTACGAGCTTAGTATAATAAAATAAATAAATTTGCCAAGGTTGATCAAAATATCCATAAACAAGCTTTAACTACATTTTGCAATAAAAATCACATGGGAATTTCAAATTTACAATTTTTTGAATTTTCTCCGTAACAAATAACTACGCAAAAACACTTCCTACTAAATTATTTATCTTTTTAAGCTCTCTAAAATGGTCTAGAGAGCAATTGGGAAATTTTGTGTTTTAATGATCAAGAATGAGAAAAACCAATTTTTCCCCCATACAAACCTCCGTAAAAATCCGTTCACATTTTCCGATCATGCTGGTTCACGAACTCATTCATGATTATCCTGCCTTACACCTTCAAACCAAATTTCATCAAAATAAAACAAAAATTACTCAAGTTATCGCGTTCACGGACACATATATAAATTTGAATAAATACTGTTTGTGGCCTCTGGAGACATCACAATGAAGAAGTAAATCGGTCCCGTGCTCAAGTCTTACCATGAGACCTACGGTAATAGCTACTTTCCTAAAGGGAAATTCGCTAAAATGAAAAAGTGTTTTCCTGCCTAGCTAATTGTCGCTAAAATCCACATGGTCTTCATTGGTGATTTCCTTTTTTATTGGTGAAGAAGTTCCATCAACATTTGCTTCAGGACTTTTCTCAGGATTACACCAGCAACCTTTTGATTGCTAGGCAAGCATTGTAAACACTCAGCTACCCCAGCTAATTAAGATAAAATACAATGATCTGATAGAAAATTTAAAATGTCAACAAATGTTGACCTATATAAATAGAACTAAGAACTTACATGAAGATTGCTTGCCATGAGGCTACCAATTGGTATCTTGAACCCCATTGAAGTCTTCTGTTCATCCTCCGAGGTTTCTTCTTGAGCCATAGTGACGATGGCTGTAGGAACGGGTGTCATCTGTGTAAAGCTCTCCAGAGCAACACCTCGCCCTATATCACTGAGCACTAGAGCGCCAACGTCGAACCATCTGCACAAACATGACCATCGTCAGTCGGCAAACTAGCAAAACCTTGCATTCGCCTGTTCAAACATGACTGTCTATGTAAATGTCAAAGAAATAGTGAACTGGCATAGTAGAACAGAAGTAGAAATTAGGATAGAAAATTGGGACATTATTGTGTTTATACAGGGTGGGGCAGAGTGGACTCCCTGATTTGATCGGTTAACTGTATAAAAACCATATACGATTATTACAAAAGCTTTTTATTTCTGAAATCCAAATACAATGCCATTTATTTTTCATTAAGTTTTAAAATTGATATCGTCCAGGTGAAGACCTTGACGAGCGATGCACATATTCAGCCGTTCAATGAAGTTTTCAAAAACTCTACACAGCATATCTGGCATTATTCCAGTGATAACATCAACAATTGCTTCCTTAAGGGCTTCCAAGGTCCTTGGTCGAACTTTGTAAACCTCAGTTGCAGATTAGGTCACCCGTACACTTGTAATCCATTTCCTTATGGTTTTAGCATCGGGAACACTATCATGACAATTCAAACCAAACCGTCTACGAAATGCACTCTGGGCCGCCACCACACTATCCTTATTTTTTAAGAACTTTTCGACTACAAAACCACGATGCTCGCCAGTTTACGGCATGGTGACTACTAACAATGGCGTCTTTCCCCCCACCACATGAAACCTCTCCCACTCCGCTAACTCGCGTGCACGCTTTTCAGCGACTGATTGAAACTAGGGAGTCCACTCTGCCCACCCTGTACTACCAGCAGCAATAGTAATGTCTATTAAATTGAACATATTTTCCATATGGTATACATCAAATAGTGTCATAGTCTTTCTAAATCTAAAGTAAAACAAGAAAAGTACATAAAATTTACAAGTTAATTATAGAAAAAAATTTTATTATTAGGTACAGTTCATCTAAGTCATATGATTGATTATTGGAGTATTTATCATAAGCATAAGTTTGGAAGCCTATTTTACCATTATAGGTAATGATAAATAGGCTACCATCTAATAAATTTATCCATCGTACACGTAGGAGCAATTGTAGGAAACTTATAGAATAGTTCTTGATATATTTACACTCATACTGAAAATACTTAGAAGATTTTAAGTATACATAAAGAACTACAATGGCATTCAGTTTCAACCATTAACCGGTCATCATCAAGCCAGAGGAAGAGAGTCTATCCTCATTATCCTCAAGCTTTGGGTATAAAAAGATTTGTCAACTTACGTTAGCTTAGTATGTTTAGGCTAACCTACTTTGAATATATGTAGGGTTAGAAAGAGTTGAGCTTTGCGCTAATTAAGGAATTCTAAGCTTAAGTAAAACAACTAGGATACCTTTCTGGAGCTATCTGTACAAGGAAGTTTTCAACAGCCACTATGGGACCCTCGGGGTAAAGTGCACGAATAGCCTCAACCCTCAACCAAGCTCCTCGAAGCCCAGCCTCGAATCCGACAGGCTGCGAGGCTAGACCCCTTGCGTCAGCTGCAAGACCTCTGAAACCATCAATTAAACACTATACAACTTACTGATAAGTATTTTTCTGTACCATCTTCACATCCTAGGACGCTAGGCTGAAGTCCAGAATAGTTTTACAAATGTCCGGAATCGTTTTACAAATGACTTCAGACAAAACCTAGAGGGTTGTGAGTTGTGACATTATCACTTAGATAAAATGTATTGGTGTTTGGAAGAATTTGAACCCGGAACCTAGAGGACAAAAGCCCTGCACTCTAACCACTAGACCAGCTTGCTCTCTTACCCATAAATAGTAGCAAAATTGATATAATCAGTACTGATGGTATTTTTTCTATTACAACATGAATATTACAACTATCAATGATATCAAGTTAGATATAAACTAGGGGAACACGTGCGATTTCAATATAAATGGTTATGTGGATCAATAATCTTATTGATACAAGTGCAAACATTGATTTCAAAATCTAAAAATACTAACGGTCTTAACGTAATTCATTTGCGAGATAGCTGTTATTTTTAAAAAAACTTCCCCGGATAACCCCCCGCCTTATTACAATACAAGAGGAAGAGCTCTAAGAGAAAAAAGCTACGACCATATTTTCTTTTGAAATAAAAAGCCCACCTGTGCTGGAATAAAGTTCCTCAATTCGCTCATTGAAGAGGTACAGTATTTTCTCAATTGACTTGACTTGTTTATTTATTTGTTTTGGCTGTTCATTTATTTTAGCTCGTGTATATATTTTAATTTTGCACATACAACTAATCTAAAATAACTCTATGTAGGCCTGCTAGGTAAGGAATACTGACACTATTCATTGTATGATCTACATATTTAGTTTGAATTAAGAAGAGGCTAAAATGAAATTTTAAAAATAATGGGATGGTATCTGAAACATGTTACTGTGAAGTTGTATCTATTTTTAACCGACTTCCCCACTACCAACAAAAGGAGGAGGTTCTCAATTTGTTTGTGGCGATGTTTTTTTTTTTTCTATGTATGTTCACCAATTTCTCTGTGATTCTTTTACCGATCAGTGTGGTTCCACCACCAAAATAATCAGGAGAGTTTTTATTTGGTACCTTATATATTATGTTTAAGTATAATATTTGTTTCGGTGAAAAATTCTGAAAACCTTAAATATTCAACATTTATTTTGTTTACATTTGTGCAGAGAAGGCAACGAGAGGTCGTCCAGTGGTCGAAACTCGACCAAAAATATGTAATGTACTCACTTATCTATTTTCACCCCACACTGTAAATAAAACATGTGATTGGAGTTTCCTCCATTTGTTTTGATTTTCTGTTTATATTTCGTTGTTATTTCGTAACCAGCATAGCAACGCATAAGATCCATGTTAATTTTTTCAAATTTTTAAACTCATTTTTTGTGCTTATCTTTGAGCCTATTTAAATTTATAAAGGGATTCTGCACACCTACAGGAAAATAGCTTTCCAACGGTATGCGTAGATTTTCCCTACGATGCACACGAGCTGAGAAAAAAGGTTTTAAAGAAACATGCTTGCCTATTAATATATAGATAGAAGATAGCATTCCTTCAGCTGTTAGTTGAAACCATTTAAATGAAGCTACAGACAATTCTTAATGAAACAGTTGCTTCATATTGATCAATAAACTATTTCTGCCATGGAGCCTAAATGAATTACATTGAGAAAATGCATTTTGTTTTGGTTACTATAAAAAATGTATTTTAACGTTTGACCTGATTTGTGTATACAGTAATTCTGTTTTTAGTATTGAATATTCTGACTGACAAAAACATATATGTTTCAGTGAATAGCTGTATGATATTGACAAATAAAGGTGTATTGTGAACCAATCTTTCATATAATATTTTCCAAAAGTATTATACGTGTTAACGACCAATTTTCCACTTTTGAGAGATTTTTAGTGCTGGTATTTGAGGAATAACTTTCATATCGTTCCAAAAGGCTTTGAGACGTTACTGTATTTCTTTTTATAATGTAGAAGTACGCCAATTGCAGGAAACGATGATGTCTGACACTTCAATGTATCTAGAAAAGACAATTAGTTTTTCATTAGGCCTAATGTAATGGACAACTCTTTCCTTCTTAAGGAATATATAAAAATGTTTATTTTCATACCCATTGATTATGTAACCTGAACAGGTGACTCAAGCAGTTTAAAAATAATGATTGTTCTGTGGAACTTTTGACTGTTTCAAACAGTTTTGCTTATCAAAAATCTTCAAGTAATTAATATATAAAAAATCATACAGTCACTAAAAATCATGAAATAATTTATTTTCGTAAAAAAATACAACCGACTTCAAACGCTCTAAAAAGAATGAAATAATTTCAATAAAGTAAACTTTTGTATTAGGCAAGCTCACGTATTTCAAGTCGGCGCAGCTCAAACTGCAAATACGGTTGAAATTAAATATTGTGTGTGTATTTTGAAAATCAAAATCAATAAATTGTAGCTGGATAACATAAATATATAAAAAGCATACTAAACTGTTTTGTTTATATATTAAAGGAAATATTTTGTTGCATTTTATGTTTACTTCAGAATAAATACATTATGAAAATAACACACACAAATGTTCTATATGAATAGGAAAATAGTTTAGTTTGATATTATGATAAGGAAAAGAAGCTAGTTTAGCATTAAAACGTTACTTTTCAAAGTTAAATGCGTTATAATCTTTTTAAGTATACTCGTTAATACCAATCTCTGATTACGGTAATAAAATAACACTTAACGCATAACTATGAAAAAGACATGCAGATTAACACCTTTAGTTATAGATAGTCACCTGCAATATGGACACCCTCTTTCAATCAAAAATCATCATAGAGCTGCGGCGACTTAAAATACGTGAGCTTGCCTAATACAAAAGTTTACTTTATTGAAATTATTTCATTCTTTTTAGAGCGTTTGAAGTCGGTTGTATTTTTTTACGAAAATAAATTATAAAATCACAGGGTAAAGTTTTAGCATTATACAGTAGCAAGATATTTGAAATTTATCACTGATCACTGTGAGGGTTAAATACGTAAAACATAGCTTACTTCACTGCAACCCTGCTGCCAAATATGCTTTGGAAAGCTTCTCTCACTGGACTGATTTTAACCTCTTTGTCTGATGCGACGATCACTTCAAAATCACCTTTTCCAGATGCTGAAACCAATGGTATAGAAGATACAAACTAAACACTTCACAGAGCAAAAGATCATTTGAACACAGTTTTTTTTTTTCAATTATCATTGTTACAATCTCATATGTAAACCATGTGTTACAATATTACAGTGGTTGTTAAATATTCTTCACCATCAGGCTCAATACAGAAAATCAACTTGAAGTGTAATACAAATTAATTCAATTATCTTTGCTAACTTCCAAGACTTTTTACATTCTAAACATGACTATTATCAAACAGGAAGGGAAAGTGCTAGGAAATTTTGGGCATTTAAGGTGGAGCAAATAAATAAGTATTGAGTGATAAGGATTATAACTGATAAATAGGCTAACCAATTATTTACTTTTAATACCAACATAGAACTTAATTATAAATAAAATACAAAATAATAATTAACGCCAGTAGGAGTTTCTTTGTTTTGACTATGTTATCAAAGTTTCTCATTCTTTCCTATTACAAGATAAAACGACTCACTCCTACCTACTGTCAGGTCCTCCCATGAGGGATTCATTTTGTATTTTGAGTTATTCAGTTATAAACCTCTATTGCACATATTATTTTTTGTAAAAACTGTAAAAAAATATTTTTTTTAACTTTATACAAAGTAAAAGATATTTTTATTTTATTTGACTTTAGTGAACAAGAGCAAGACTATGCTCCGTCAAGACTGGGAAGGCGGTTAAGAGATTGAGGTCTCGCAACAATAGTTAGGGACCGGGCGGCCACCTGCACTAATGAAGCGTTAATCTAACTGCAATATAACAAATTAACCTATAACTTAAAAATAATACTAAATCGCATAATTTTTTATTTTTTCTTAAAATTTCAACTCTACGTGTTATTTCACAAAAATGTAGTCCAAACACGAAATGGTTATTTAAATTAGTAACATTAATATTACCTTATTGTGTTATGGAAAAAAAACTAAACTTAATACCGTATACTGAAAAAAATTAACTGTCATGAATCGGTTAATTTAAGAGGTCATTAGTTATTAAAATTTCATAATACAGTAAGTTACAATGACTACATAATATTTAGAAGATGGAGTCCTAGCCAACGCCCCGACTGCCAGAATATCTGGAACGGAAGAAGATATTCATATTACAGTTGACCCCTGATAAACCGACACTTTTTAATCCAATCTACCAGGTACCGGTAGTCCAATGCCCCAATGCACCAGCAGTCTTATAGGCGGAAACATATGTTACTAGTTTAGGTATGTATAATGTTTTGTGTAAAAAGGATTCTATAGAATTAATTCATGGCTATTCACATTACAATACTCACAAAGTAGGCCAAGATCTCTCATTTGGGGGTCCAGGGTAGTGATGACTGTGTCTACTGAGCTTTTTGCCTTCTCTGCTACCTGAAATCAGAATAAAGTTAATCACCAGGCCAAGTATTTGATAATAAAAATAGCCAATTTTATCAAACAACATTTAGAACTGATAAAATATGCAGCCATTTAACTTACAATTTACTTTTAATGGCAAATTAGAGCTTATTTATAAAATACAAAATAGTGATAAACAATTGCCCAAAAAATTTTGTTTGGGAGAAAAAACCAGGTTAATTAAGTTTAAATTTGTTGCTTGTGAAAGAGAGAGAGAATGTTATTTTTGTCAACAATCTATTGTAAACATACAAAGTAGTTATGAAAGTATGAAATCAAGTCAAATGAAATAAACTACAGATACCATAGTTTGACGCAAAGTAGATACATAAACAATTCACAAGTGATTTTGTGTCACAACGGATCATATTATTTGCTATAGTATGATTTACATACCTTGTTGAGTAGTTGACCAGGATTGTAGCCTCTCACCCAGCCCAGCAGCCCTGTGGAAGTGTCAGTGGAGGGGGAAGCTTCAGCCGCAGAATCTGCACTGGGGCTACTCACCGGTAAACCTTTCTCTGCTGGGATTACTGGGCTAAACAGAACAACTCATGTTATGACAACAAGTCCTGAAATTTCGGTAAATATATTCGTCCTGAAATTTGAAGAGATAATTTCCAGACAGGTTTACATTTGTTTCATGTCTTGGGAGCTGGTCTAGTGGTAGAGCAGGTTCAAATCCTGCCAATCACCAGTGGATTTTAACTAAGTGATAATTACCGCAACCCTCTAGGCCTAGTATAAAGTAATGTGTATAACGGTTTCAGGCTAAGTGCCCCATTGAAAGTCTCAAAACAGGATCTATCCCAACTGTCAGCCGGAGTCAGGCTGATTTGGAAAGATCAGTGGCTCAGATACCCGCCTATGTAGTGTAGTATCTACGCTAGAGACACTTCTACTGTAACGGCACTACACTGTCTTTATATCACTGCCGGTCCATGGTAGCGGGAAGTTGTTACAACTTCAACAAACTGGTTTCCTATATGGGATGTAAATGTTTGTCTCAAATGTTTACCTATAGTTTTATTTTACTTTTTTGAAACTCATTGTAACTTAGGGGCCAGATACATAAAATCATCTTCTGCAAACATTCAAACTATAACTTTGTTATTAACGCCTAGACACCTATCAATTATTCAGTGTAATTTACCTTTTTCATTAGCCTAAGATGCCAACAGTTGAGTTCTACAGTAAGCATTTTGTGTCAATTAAGGCACATCTTCAGCTGCGTAGTAAAGGTTAAAACAGCTCACATTGAGAGTGTTTGTCACATATTAAAATAAAACAAAAAACAAATACGAACATGGACACAACAACAGACACACATTATTTACACAGTTCATCAATGTCATAAACTGTGTAGGCTAAATAATGTTTGTCTATTGTCATATCCGTATTTGTTTTTCGTACGTAATTGACACAAAACGCGTACTGCAGAACTCAACTGTTGAAACCTTAGGCTACCGAAAAAGGTAATACTTAATCAACTTAAAAAACTTTATACTTAATAGACTATAACTGTTTTTATCAACACGTATTACAAACTTTACATAAAACAGCTACATTGGTTTCCACTTTTCACCATCCTAGCCAACTCAGTTTGCAGATATCACATCGAAGAGCGTACCTGAAGGTGGTCGGATGGAAGGCAAGAGGTGAAGAGGCCGAAGGCTCAGACAAAACCACCGGAGGCACAAAACTGGGCAACGCTGAAGGTGGCTCTACTGCAGATAGGACGTTCTTTTCTGTATCTGCAACAGACCATATTTTAAAAAGCTCATTTTTGGTGATAGCGAGTTTATGTTATTTAAGAAAATATTTCAGAATCTTCCCGTCACTATTAATATAAATTAACTTTTTACGTTTTGAGATCTGGAATCTGATTCCGTCCTCTGGTGAGAATGTATCTGAAAAATAACAAATTAGTAGCCATAACAACCTCGGCTATGGCTTGAAAATTCAAAATAACACAACACATAGAACTGTATCAATGGATGTAAACCTAAGAAGCGAAATTCCCATGTGCATGCCTAAGGGCATTCAGTCTGGGATCATTAAAATTTTGGCATGTTCCCATAGCGGCTGCTAGGTAGCACAGGTGCTACTGTCGTTGATGTCAGTGAGGCTCACAGTAAAGCACAGATTTCGGCTCTTTATCTCTTATAGGTAGGAGTATTGCACCTTGGTGGAGGATGAGTCGCTATGGAGACAGCAGTCCCTATGGAAGAGGCAGGTAGAAAGAAGAGGTGTATTAAGAAGAAGAGGGGAGGTAGAAGGAGAATGGATGTAAGAAGCTGGTTGATAAAAGCTAAAGGGGCATTTGTCCAGCTTATTCCGATTTTGAGATCTTGCCAACTGAGCTTGAAAGTAAAACTGAGACTTCAGGAAACAAACCACGGTAAATCTGACGGTAAATCAGTCAGTTCCACGGTAAATCTGCAAGACCTGTAAAGTGTCTAGTTGAGATAACCGAACCATGCAGGGCTTTGTCAACAAATACATCAGGTCAGTCTTAGGAATAAGATGGCCTGAGATCGTCTAAAGAAGAGTTATAGGCCAGAACCAACCAAATTCCACTTAGGAATAAAATTAAAGAAAGTTGAAATGAAATGGTCACACACTGAATAAGGGAGAGGGTGAGGCAGTAAGAAAAGCTCTGGAGTGGAATCCATTAGGACAAAGAAGAAGGGGAAACCAAAAATTAATTTAAGGCGTAGAGCTGCAGCAGGCTCCAAGGTCATGTCAGGTGAAGAGAGTCGCTCCGAACAGTGTATGCTGGAGAGGTCTAGTTGCTGCCCCAACAGAGGAATAACAGGAAATAAGTAAAGTAAGCCTGAGGTTAAGATGGCTCAGTGTTGTAGTGAGACTGGGGAATGAAAGAATGCCTCTAAAATTAATAGATGGTCAAATACGCGGAACAAGAAAGGAGAAAGTGGTTGCAGGACGTTGAACAGGATTTGAGAATTTTGAAGAATTGGAGGCAGAAAGCAAGAAACAGAGAAGATTGGAGACAAATTGTGATGGAGACCAAGACTCATCTTGGGCTGTAGCACCAGAGAGTAAAGGTAAAGTAAGTCAAGTAAGCATTCCAAAGCAAATTTTTGCGGTCAAATCTAGCCTTATTGTTCACCATAAGCATTTTGCTTCTTTGTATTCATTGAAAGTTTCATCGGCAGCATAGTAGGCCTAGTAAAAAAAACCTGCATAAGCCCTTAATAAAAAGGTACTATCGTATTATACGGATGCCACCCTTATACAGCGCGCTGCGGCGGTTAGGTTAGGATGGGTTATAATGAATTTTTTTTACTCATCTGGTATCGTTCGATTTAAAACGAAACAAGGAAAGTCCTACAAATATATTTATGATAATCCGACCTAACCTAACTGCCACAGCGCGCTGTAAAATAAGTGGCCTACGAAAGTACTGATTAAATGCAAAACAGAAACAACAATGGGGATTAGAAGTAGACCTAACAACTGAATTATATTTTTATCTAAGGGCTTTTGTGTTTATGCTTGAATAGGTACTATTTCTATGTGGTTTTATTGGTGATTTTCCAGTTTTAACTGGGTTTGTGTATTAATCTTGTTATGTTTTAGGTAGAGGTTTCTCACCTGGGGATCAGGTTCCAGGTACCAAAACCCTGTAAAAACTTTGTCGTTTAGAGGGAATTTCTTTATTCATATTTTTTCTTGATACTAAACTAACTTAAAAACTATTAGCATAACAAAATTGTAAAGCACAAAACAAAAACATCTCCACCCCATGTAGCAGTTTAATCATGGCTGATGGAATTAACCTTAACTTCACAATTTGTTCTATGTTAAATGTTTAAAAGAGTTACCTGCATCAGTGGATTTTTGCTGTTTAGCAGATTGGGCCTTTGTGCCATTTTTTGAGTCTACAAACTCAAAAGTTGATTCACTGTTTGACGAATCGTCCTGCATGGCAAATAATCTTCCTGAAAGTAAATTAATTTTAATAGAGACGTGTCTAATTTGAGGGGCCGGTTCTAGGAATTTTTCAAAGTTAAGCGAACACCCGAATCAGCGCCACTTAGAATCCCCCCCCCTTAAACCCATAAACATAACTTAACCGTATTTGTGAATTTTTTCCCAATAATTTTGGGAAGAACTTTTTTTATAAGTTTAGGTAGAAGAATACTAACTTGCAATAAAAGACTGTTTATTATTCGCAGAAATGTGACATTCATACACTTTTACTCATCATATAAACTATAGCAAAACCAAGGACACACTAAAAAAACAGGCCGTAATATTCGTCAAGCATGACGTCACGATAGAAGACGGCAATGACATAATGTTTGCCATTTGTGATCAGCTGCTTGTCTTTCCTTGGAAAATAAATAAATAAATACCTCTGTCATTGCCGTCTTCTATCGTGACTTCTTTGGGCTGACTGGACTCGCTACCAGATGATTTCTACAAAAATCTACTCATTGATTTGGCTTTTTTTTCTTCCTCTTCAAAATTTGCCTTACGCTTTCTATAATAAAAGTGCCAGACGGTTTCTTTTTTCCCCCATTGTTTTCATAGTATCGGCTCGGAAGATGTTTTACTCATTTTTTCAGTTTATACTTTCTTCTTATTTAATGTGCTAATTATAAATTAAACTTAAAACACTCGTAATAATTCGCTTATCAACAATCATGAATCATCAAAACAATGCCAATACGATATCGATACGGTATAGGCCTTCGTATACAACTAAAAGAGTGCAATACAATGTAATGCTCTGCTCTAGGATCAGAGGCAGAAAGGAGTGAAAGAAAGGGGAAGTTTCTTGTTGTGACAAGTGGCACTGCGCGCTTGCTCATCTCGAGCATGAGTGAGTTGTGAAATGAAACCCATAGGTGCCGCGCTGGCGCTGACGCTGCCGACTGCCGAGCGTCAGCTCACTTCAATCGAATCGAAACTGCAAATGGCATTGAGTCCTTGAGATGTAGTGCTGTACAAATATACAAATTTCTCAAGTGCTGTTGGTACAAACAGAATAAATGCCTTTATTGTGGTGCTTTGAATACTTGAACTCTGAGCTAAAATAAACAAAATTACGTTGTTCACGTAAAAAAAAATGTTCTGTTGGCGCCACGGCGCCACTTTATCGTGGCGCCATATGCGCCCGCGTAGTTCGCGTATGGGTTAAACCGGCCCTGCTAATTTGTCAAACTAAAGCTTTTTGTGGTATAGCCTACTAATAAAATTTTGGATGCCTCAAAACTTAACATAGGTATTGATTTAAGGCCAAATACAGTAAAAAGGACAGTGTATACAAGGTCTTTATTGCTAAAATTGTAATACTAATTATCAATGACATATTAATAGCTTAAAAGAACTTAAATTTTGAAGATATTTGTAACTCAAGTAATTAACGAGTCTTCCATCATTCTCGGGGTAGTTGTGTTTTAGAGGTACAGTATATCCTTGGGAGGGAAGGTTGTGTGGATGGGCGGGTATCTTATATCACTGGCATAATATTAGCAATTTTAGAGGGAAAACTCTTAAACTTTGCAGCTTTACAAATAAATTGGAATGCTCAAAAATACAAAGTTATTTTAAACTACTAATTTCTAAGAGGAAAGGGTTAAATTGAAACTAGGAGATTTTTGTGCTTACCTAATCAACCTAAGTAAATAGTCAAATTAAAATATTATAAAATTGTATAGGATGATATCAAGGTTTAGTAACCGATAGCTTTGACTATTCCGACAGTCAACAAAATACAAAACTGAGTAGTAAAATTGAAACCTTGATATGCTATCAAGTATGAGTCAACAGCTGGTTCTATATAAACAAATAGATTCAATGATAACAAGCTTTTCCAGTGCACTAAATAACAGTTTACCATGGAATGTAGTCAAATTTGCACATTACGGTGGTGTAATCATTGCTTGTTTAAATGAACAAATTGTATTCCTGATTCAAATTATTCAGATTAAGACATACATTTACTGCTGTATTATCATGTGATCAAAAATGTCTACGATGTATACTACAATTAGAGTAACAAATATACTCATAAGTATAGCCTGTTGCATATAATAACTATTGGACTATGTTTATTATATTTAGTACTCTTTGACTTCCTTATGAGAATTCAAATGTTTTTGTTTTACATATGGTTTTCTGTTGTTCATTAATTATTCTGTAAATAAGTTTGACCAATTTAGTACATCATAAAAGTTTCTTCCAGTAAAGTATTCTTTTCATTTCATTCTATTTAACTTGTAACAATAGTATTTTATAACAGGTTATGGGCCCAGACACCCTTATATTGTGTGTTACAGGTTTTAAATAGAATAATTTATTGCTTGAGATAAAATCTTTAGTATGGAATTTGTTATGCAAAAAATGGAATTGCTGCATGGAAAGGACAACTGGGATGATTGGAAATATCTCATGCAAATTAGGCTTAAAGGAATCCCAGATGCATACGAAGCCATTTCTGGTAAAATGGAATTGCCAGAGAAACCTAAAGATGAAACACAAGATGCAGAAATGAAAGAATATAAAATGAAGATGGATAAGTTTAACAAAACACAGTCAGAGGTAATGTTTATGTTAGCATCTTCATTAAGTAAGGAAGTAAGAGCTCAGGTAAGAAACCTAGAAAAACGAGATGAGGTTTGGAAGGAGCTGCATAATCTATTTGCGGAAATAGAGGAAAATAAAGCCTATGATATATGCTCTCTGTTCTTCACCTACAAATGGGATCAACACTTGGATATGGCTGGGAACCTATCTGCAATCAAGTCATTATGGGTAAAGCTTCAAGAAGAAATTAAGAAAATCCAAGACAAGAAAGAAGATAGTTTACCTCAGATATTGTTGATTTGCAAGATTTTTGAAATCCTACCAGCAGAATATTCCAACTTTCAGACAACTTGGTTAATGATTCACAAGGATAAAGCGAGAAACCTTGACAATCTTACAAATTGGCTGTGTACAGAAGCAAGAAAGCTGACTTCAAAGGAAAATGAGAAAGAAGATACAGCTTTAATGGCGGTCAATAGATCTAAAGAAGCCAAAGGTAACTTAGTAGGTGTACAGAAAAACAGCAAAAACAATGATAAAAAGAAAAAGTTTCCATGCCACTATTGTCACAAGAAAGGACATTGGTTGCAAGAGTGTCAGAAATGGATAGCGGATGGAAAACCTGAAAGAAAACCTGAAAAGAAAAGCTTGGAAAAAGAATCCAAACAAGCAGCACTAACCATATTAAGTAATTGTGTTTTTCAAACCCAGAATACTACCGCATCACATGATTGGTACGTGGACAGTGGTGCTACCAACCATGTTACACATTGTAGGGAAATGTTTACTGACTTTGAACAATTTGAGTTACCTCATGCAGTTACAATGGCAAATGGACAACAGACAAGTGCTATTGGTAGAGGAACAATTTGCATGGAAGCAAATTTGGATGGTATTTGGAATACAGTAAAGCTAACCAATGTATGGTATGTACCTGGTATTTTTGCAAACCTATTTTCAGTAACCGCTGCTCAAGATTTAAATGTAAATAGTAAATTTGTATCGACATCCAAGGATTGCACTTTGTTTGATAGAAATGGTAAACCACTCATCAAAGGACATCGAAGTCAAGGCGGAGGCTTGTTTAAATTAGCAGTAAGAAAATCAGTAGACCTCATGGCTGTTATGGAAGGAGTTCCAGCTGTTAATCAGTTGCAGTTACTTCATGAACGACTAGGACATCAAAGCAAAACTCATGTACAAGAAATTGCAAGGAGAGAACTGAACCTTAATCTCAAGCTTGACAATGAGGTATGTGAAGGTTGTGCTTATGGAAAAATGCACAGAACACAATTCAGAAGCAGAGATGAACACAGAGCTTCAGTACCTGGTGAAATCATTCACTCTGATGTTTGTGGACCTTTCTTTGAGTCGATTGGAGGTTCAAAGTACTTTGTATTGTTCAAGGATGACTTTACTCGCTACCGCAGTGTTTATTTTATGAAGACAAAATCTCAAGTTGTAGAGAAGCTGAAGCAGTTTCTTGCAGAAGTCAAAGTCACAGGCCATGTAATATGTAAGTTGAGATGTGATGGAGGAGGTGAATTCGACAATGAAAGTATTAGACGAGTCCTTCAAGTGAATGGAATACAACAGTTGATCACAATGCCATACACACCACAACAGAATGGATCTGCAGAGAGAGAAAATCGGACCATAGTTGAATGTGCAAGGTCAATGATGCATGCTCACGGTGATCTGCCTCAAGGCTTGTGGGCTGAATTGATAAACACTGCAGCCTATATTTTGAACAGAACTGCTAAGTCATCAGTTGCCGGAAAGACTCCATATGAATCATGGTTTGGAAAAAGACCTACGATAAAACATTTACGGGTTATCGGGACAGATTGTTTTGTCCATATTCCAAAGCAGAGAAGACGTAAGTTTGACAAGAAAGCGATGAAATGCAAACTTATTGGATATGATGGTAATGATGGATATCGTCTCTGGAATTCATGGAAATGTACTGTCATTCGGTCCAGGGATGTAAAATTTTTGAAAGAGCCTATTAGTGAATCCATAGTAAATAGGCCTATATCTTCAGAAGAAAAAGTCCCCGATGAAGCAAAAGATGAGAACTGTTCAGCCCCTGTAGTAGAAAATGTCCCCATTCTCTTTCCTGAAGATGAATCGGAAGAAGATAAATTGACAGACGAGGAAGCAGAACAACAGGAAGAAAACGTTGTGCAAACTCGCCAACTCCGAGATAGAGCTATGGTAAGGCAGCCCATTCGTTTTGAAGATTTTGTGATGAGTGCTGTTATGGGGAACACACACTATGAACCTAATACATACATGGAGGCATCGAACTGTGAAGATCATCTGCAATGGCAAAAAGCAATGGAAGATGAGATTAACTCACTTCACATGAATGAAGTGTGGACACTTACTGAACTACCCAAAGGTC